GAATGTACCCGTAGCTAGCAATTTATTGAAAAAGCTAACAAAGATTGTTGGCTTGGCCAAAACGACTGTTTTAACGATTGCATAATCAATGCCATCAGGGCCAGGGGCCTTTTTCTTTGGCAAATGCGCTAATATATGTTTTAGTTCTTTCAATGTAATATCCCTATCCGGTGGCACGTTGGTAGACATCTGTTCTGTACGTATAGTTGCTTGTTGCTTAGAATCTTCGGTTGGGTCATCCTGACTGAAGACGGAATCCAGGATCTGTATTAATGTTTCCCTTGTGTAGTCCTGAGTAACATTTATTCGTGTAGGGATGTGTAACTGGGCAGGCCTAAACAGCTTTCCAGTCATAATCTTATGATGAATACCATAGATGTTTTGTGACTCTGTACAAAAAGCATGCCATGAATTGATTTTAGCCTGCAAAATTGAACGTTTGTACTTCGCTCTTGCCTGTTGATAAATTGGGAGGGTCTTAGCTGGAAGGTTTAGTCTACGCTCAGTCTTTAACCTTCGACGTAATGCGCGACATTGCCTCTGCTGAATACGAAGTTCACTACTCCACCAATTGATCGTAGTCAGTTTTTTAGTACTACGCTGTGGCAATATGTCATCACACGCTTGCTGTATACACTTTTGTAGAGTCACTGTGAAATTCTCCAATTCGTCTCTAGAGTTCGCTTGAGTTAGCTGTTGTTCAATACCTTCAAACAAATTCTTGACTCTAGTAGTAAAAGCACGTTTACGCCTACCAGGTAGGTTGTAACGACGAATAATATTAATTGTCGTCGGTTGCTCTATTGAGAAAGTAATGTAACGATGGTCGCTTAAGCTAATTTCATCATTAACCCTCCAGTTTTGTATTAATGGCGCAGCTGAGGCTGAGCTGACCGTCAAATCAGGCCAGCCTTGTGCGTAGATTCTGTCATATGTCGGAGGAGCGTCTGCTGTGTTATGTAAAACAAGATGATGATAGCAGACAGAAAATCCTCCAGAAGGCTTCCTTTGTCATTCGTAGAAGCATACCCCCAAACCGTGTTGTGGGCATTATAATCGCCTGTAATTATTTTAAGAGGAATTTTAATCTTTTGCAGGGTATCTGTAAGAAACTGTGTAGTAGCCAAAATATCTGCAGAAGGAGGAGAGTATTGTGAGATAAACAGTAAAGATGCTTCTTGTGCTTCTATAATGATTGCAACATTATCGCGTTCAATTGCTACGATAGCCGGAGACCATTTTTTGTTGCAGTTAATAATAATGGCCCTAGGAGGATATTCTACATTTCCTTGTTGATAAATTGTCCATTGCAATGGAAATCCCACTGCAATTCCGTCTCGCGTGTAAGGTTCCTGAGCCATTATCAGGTCAGCACCAAATTCTGCTGCAAATTGTGCTAGTTGAGCAACTGCTGCTTTTGCTCGCTGTAAATTTATTTGTATACATTTGATAGATAATGTACTGCATATTGTATCTTTATTTATGACGTTTGATAAATCAAGATTAGCAGTATTCTGTATTATCTCGGATTGACTGTACCTTGCGCTGGTATTGTGGGCATTCTGGAGCATAGGCTGGATGGAAGTAGCTGTATTTGGTGCCATAGCGGGAGTTGGCCTCACCACAGTTGATACACTGTGGTTGTTGGGCTGTGCAATCACGGTTCCCATGTTCTTCTGCACAGTAGGAGCAATATTGTTTTCTACTTCTGCAGTCAGCTTGCTTATGCCCATATTGCTGGCATCTAAAACATCGCTGGAGGCCAATATGCTCTGAGACTCTATGAGCCTGCCAGCCGAGGAAGATTTTTCTGTGCTGCATGATGGCTGCAAAGCCTGTCGGCTCACACTCAAAAACCCACTTGATTTTGCCTTTACGACGTTCTTGTAATCGGAATAGGGGTTTAAAGGTGGTGCTAGGCATTCCAGTGACGCCGCTGAGTTCTGCGAGTACTTCTTCTGATTGTGTGGATACCGGCAAGTCATGGACGGTGCATCTTGGCTTACGTTTCCATGGACGGGTGACTTCCGCTGGGATATCTTGTTGTTGAAGCTGTTGTTCGAGGATTTCGACATCTTCAGTGGATTTACAGACAACCTCGAAACCTCCTTTGTTGAGCTTAGAAATTCTTTCTATACCTGCCTGTAGCTTGGAAAGTGGTACTTTAGCGTTTAGCTGCGCCTTTAGCTCAGTCTCTGTGACGTCCGCTTTGGGACGTATGTATAGACTTGGATTCTTATGTTTCTTTATAATCTCTGCAAAAGTTGGTCGAGAAGCTGTTGGCAAAGGTGGAGGTGCCTGTAAATCAGGTGGTTGTTGTGCTATCGGTAGAGGCTGAGAGCGAGCCAATTCACAGCAAAGCACTGTTGATGTATTAACACCTGTGTCTATCTTTGTTGGCTTGGCTGCTAATTCTGCACCTTGTAAGGCCAGCGTCTGCAACGCAACCAGGGAGTCTAATAGTCTGGTGCGAAGAACTGTAGGTAAAAGATATTTAGTACTTCTGGTGGTGGCCGCTACCTGTCTAATATCCTCACACAAAATAGCTACTTTCTCTGCGTAAGGCAAATCAGAGGTCAATAAATTAGTGGCGTCTACGTCACTTTGTGAATGCGCGGAATCACCGTCAGTTGGAATCACTGATTGACAGGACATGCTGTCCAAGAACTTTCTCAGAGTTGCAAATTATCACACTCGTAGTGTAACTCTTTATCAAATACTTAACGTAAAATAGCTATTGCTTATTGCTGTATAACAACCAATATATGATAAAATTTGGTAACAATAGGTCCCTTTCACACCCAGTAAACAAGAAATTACAGTAATTAAAACATGTAGTAGAATAAGTAAGATACTAAACATAATTAACAGATGAACTATGACTAAAAATTCTCTAAATACAATCAAACTGACTGATTTTTAAGTGCAAGTAGAAACATAAAAATACAAGTAATTAAAATACAGCAATTAATACAGTAATTAAAAGATTAAATAAACATTTCAAGTAATTAAAGGTAAAATACAGAGTGCATAAAGATCAGTTCTCATGTAAAAACACATCAAAAGCACGCAACTAGAGCTTTAAAACTAAATTTTTAGAGTTTGTCGAATAGTGTTCAAAGTTATCGAAAAGTTATTCGACGACGAGAGCTATAATGTCGAAACTGAAGATGAAAACGATGGAATTAAAAACACTATGCAAATCCTGTAAAAAATGTTAAACATTTTGAAAAAAAAATAAACATACCAGTTCTTGAAATTCCTGGTTGCAATGGATCCGAAGATATATACATATATTTTAATTAAAAATTAATTTCTGGACATGGAATATTTGGCCGATTTCCTAGGCCTACCAGGGGAACCACGTGGTAGCTAGGCGGGACCCTTCCGTTGCTGTAGCGGCAGAAGTGGTGAACAAAAACACGGTAAATTGCGACTGCCTATTTTCTTTTGTTAGAAGCACTAAAACACAAAAATCTGGAGAAATATCACTCACACACACTTAAACGATGTATCCAAGGATGCAGGAGATATTCACGCACATTTTGATATATAATACACACGTCGCACTCAAAAACTTCCACTGAAAATTGGGCAAAAACCAAGAGCTCGGCGTGATGGCGTGCTTCCTCGTTGCATGCTCCGGCGTCTCTGTGGCAACGATTAGATAATTCTTAAGATGTTATAAATTTTGTGCATTCTGAGTTAAAAAATGATCCTCATGCAGCTTAATTGTTTTCACGAAACCTTGACTGCCCTTCCACGGCCGCAGTATCTTCGCCTTCGGGTGGGTGCGTTGGCACCTTGATTTATTTACATACGCAGTTGACCAAATGAACTGGTTAAAATCCTAATGTGATTGTGTACCAGTATACCAGAGATTATTATGATTATGATTGTGCTAAAATGAATGAAATGTAACGCTGTTAATTTAACCACCTAGGGCCAGAGTGTCGCTATCTTAAACAAATATGCAAGAAAAAATGAGTATAATTTAATATTTCCGTACAAGGAAGTCATGTGGTGTATACATCAGATTTTTTATTTTAATCGGCAGAACCAAAACGTATATACAGTGGAATCTCGAGATACGAGCACCTCTTTATACGAGAAATTCGATATACGAGGAAAGTATGAACGAAAAATGTGTCTCTAAATACCAGCATTGACTCGAGTAACGAACAATGAGCCAGGCTGTTGGTATGCGTGGCGCCATTTTCCTATCCGGCTCCACTCGTGGAACACCCTCGTCAGATCACTTGCTGTTCTTTGATCTACGTGTTTGTGCGCTTTGAGTCAATTATTCATTACATTTAACGTAAAAATAATTATTTGACGATGCCTCTCAAGAGGATTGTTGCCTCAGATAGCGCTGCAAAGAAAAAAAAAAGGGAGCTACGGCTGTTGAAATTAGGGAACAAATCATAAATAAACAAGAGTGGTGCAAGAGTGATAGAATTGGCGAAGACTTTAACATCGATGATTTGTATTTTTCTGAAGAAGCAGGAAGAAATTAAGAAACTTGATATAGTCAAAGGAGTTAGCGTACTGTTTAACTATGACAATTAAGCAGTTACAGACTCAATCATAACATGCCAAATATTAAATTAACTTCTGTAAATAGCTGATATGTGCTAAGAATAGGTTTTTTAAATTATTTTCTCACCACACAATTTATAATATAGCCCTAAAGATTTGAAAAATCCGAACCGAACTTCAGCCCTTAGTTTGAGCAATATTCTTCATATTATTGAAAGCATTATTCAGTTACTGTATATATCACTTAAATTTAGACTGTTAACTATTGCTTTGCAAATTACCATAAATTTTACCACAAAATTAACACATTGAGATTGCAAAATATGATGCATAAGTAAAAAAATAACATTTTCCTTTTAATAACAATATTACAAGGCTTCAAACAAACTCGACATCATTTTACTTGTCAACATACAGTACACTGCAAATTGTAACAATAAAAAAAAAGAAAAAAAAAAAAAACATATGAACAAATCTGAGAACATATTTGATGCCTTAGAAAAACATTAAACATAATTAACGCTAGACTTACTAATGTAAAATGTTTAAGGGGGCCACAGTCTTCCACCTTAGGGATTCCATTATAGTCGCACTGACATACGGCAATTTAGAGCGCTCCTTCCACGTGATTTTTCCATCCTTCCGTAAAACCGTGTCTAGTTCCTCGTGCACTTTCTTCTGAACTACAGGATATGTGACCATCGCCAGTAGCAGCCACAAAATCGCGGTCCGTGTGGTCTCACTACCTGCACTAACCATTGCTTGGCAACTGCCAATTAGATTTTTTTCTGAAAATAAATAAGAAAGTCCAAATATGTCTCCAGCAACATTCTTCTCATGGTCAGTGATAACGACTCCTAGCGCAGTCGCCCCAGATATGCATTTCATGCGCTCGCGATATATTTCCCTGTGCAGATGAATTGGTGCAGGCGCAGCAGACGGCCAGAGATAATTGCATGCAGAGAGGCTTTAAATCGATTACTTCCTCAGACCAAAATCCAAAATATAAAAAACCAAAATCTTCTAGCTATTTAAACTTATTAAACGACTATGTTATTTTAACTTTTTATAGTAGTGTAAGGATTATGTTAATTTATCTAACAGTTAATTTTGAGTTAAAGTTACTTTCCTATCCTTTCTAAATTTCAAGCTTACAACTTCCCACGAGAACGTATTTTTAGAATCGCGTTTGAATGCAAATGAGGAGAAGTATTTAACTGTGAAGTTCTGCTGAACCAGTGATTCTGACTAGCTCGCGTTCGCCTTTAGGCTATTCTCTATTAAGTTATTATTAAGCTCGGCCGTACTTTAGGCCCTTGATAGCTTCGCCGTTATTTTAGCGTTAAGGGGCCAACTCTGTTAGGATCTTGATAGCTTCGGCTATATCTTTTTAGTTAAGATTAGTTAGGTTTCATTTCTTAGTTCCTGAGTTTCAGCCCGATTAGAGGTTTTATTGTAAAACTCCAAGAATGAGTTTTGTGAATTTAACTTGGAATAATAAAGTGTATTTAACTCTTCCCAAGTTTCATTTTCTGTCTCACGAATTCAAGCGATTATCCGCTTACCATTTCTTAAGATTCTTCAACTTCAACTGTAACTTAAAAGTACGCAGCACAGAATCTTACCGTAGTTTCGCTTTATATACACGATTTGATAGTAACATGTAAAGTAGTATGATGCCATATTAGATGATATGCTGAAAATGGATATTGAAAGAGCAGATCTTTAAACATCGGAAAAAAAATACGGGAACGTTATAACCCGGCTGCTTAAATTTAATGCCACACAGCTGGTATAGTGGTTAGCGACGCTGCCGTACCGATGGGACCGGGTTCTAATCCCGAAAAAATCATCGATGTTCTTAAAGCATATAGTGTCTGTGTGGTAAGAGGGCATTCAAATTACATGGCTAGCCGGGTCCAAATTCGAACCCCGGAGAAGGTATGAATGTTTGTAAGTGCATAGTGATCGTGTGGTATGGAAACTCTAAAAATACTGTCGAACCATATATCCTCTCGAGAGATTGATAGTAGGAGAAGAGGGATAGTAGACTCTCGGACAGCTCCGTTTATGTTGTGTGTGATTATGGCAAAGCCTCGAGGGCTATCTGCCTAAGGGGAGGTATGCCTTCGGGGAGGACTTTCTAAGGGAAACTGGCTCGTATACACATTACACATGGGAAAAAACACGAAAACGCCCATGCAACCAGCCCGTCTCCGTTTACGAATTAATTAAATGAACTTAAGTATGCTTACCTATGATACCCAGAGCTAATTCTTATTGTCTGCGAATCGTCAACGCCTTGGTTACGATCAGCGTGCATAGAAACACATAATTAAAAATTAAACAAAAACCATGTCCTCTTCTGATGGGTTACAACTGAAACCAGAAGTGTGAAACAAAAATTTCGAGTTCCTCTCAGCAACAGCATTGAAAAGTTTGGTGATCTGTTTTGGAGGATTGCAGTTATCAAAATTCTCTTAAACAAGGTGGATTGTTTATAGTCAGGCTATAAACAAGACACTTGTTTATTTCTCCAAGTTTATAGGGTATTTTCTCTCTCCTTTCTGCATGCTTTCTTGGTGTAATAATCAGTACACTCGGCGCGTATTCCAGATGTCCGAGGTTCAAGTCCTGGAGAAGGCATTGCTCATTTTTCATGTTTCCTGCTTCGCAATAACCTAATGTCTGTACAAGTTAAACACAATAAAGTCACTTGCCAACTTCAGACAGCATTTGGAAGAGTGATAGTTCGTTCCGAGGTTCGAGTCTCAACGAACAGGCCAGCTGCATGGGCGTTTTCGTGGTTTCCCCATGTGTAAAGTGCTACGTGCCAGTTGCTCTTAAAAAGTCCTCCACGGGACATCCTTCCACTTACGCGTAACGTCAAAAGGCGGAGCACGTAATAAATAATAATAATTATAAAAATATTTGTAAGCAGTGCGGCGCCTGTTACTGTGCAAGGTATAAGCGGCAGTTAATTTAACTAACACTGAATTCTCCTTCGCATGTTTCCAATCTGCATAAATTTCTGGTCTTAATATATGTAGCAGTGATATGAATCAAAGAAAACATAGGGAATATCTGTAAATTATATTTAACTATTAATAAAACTTACAAATGATTATCACAACATAATCATGTCAAAGGTTGCACCAGAGAATTTGATCATGGACAAAATGCAGTGCTAGTAATTTATTGGCACATAACCTGAAAAGGCTATTCATAAGTCAAATACATGATAAATATCGGTAACTAAAAATACGAATAAAAACCACAAAATAATGTTGTGATATGGAAACAGAAATGATATAACAAACAGTTTGTACAAAGTAAATATAGAATTTAAAATGGAAAAATATTCAATACAGAAAACACGTATTCATATTTAAACAAAATTAAAAACTTATTTGATAAAATTGTAATTCATATGGAAGGATAAAATCATATCTGTCTTAAAAAATTTTTTTAGATTAAAATACGGAATATTTCCAATTAATTGGTTGAGTGTTACATTAGTGATAAAATACTTGAGATGACAAATTTTAAAATACAGATTTTTAATTAAAATGGAATAAACTAACAATAAAAATCGAAAGATATTAAGAGTTTTTCTTATAATTTACAGAAATATTGTTAGGAAACATTATATTTCATTTAGTGCTCTAATTTTAATAAGAGGTAGAATTTTTAAAAATATTTTAGAGTTATTACCATTAAATGTGTTTTTGATATGTCTTTGTTTATTCTTTTCAATTTCTTTCAAATAACCGTCTATGAATACGTCTTCGCTGTCTTCAACCATCAGGGCTTTCTTGCGACTTTCTATCTGTCTTCTAAAAAGAATAAAAATTACGACATAAAACTTATAATAATTTTTAAATATTTAAATACAAGGAGCATATAAATGAAATTATATCGAATTATACAAGATTTTTATACTGTCAGTGTATTAAAAACAATAGCAATGGTTATTAAAGGCCTTTCTAGTGAACAGCCAACCTTTCCATTCTTTGCTTGTAAAGGCCTGTGTGTTGCTTAGAGATTATGGGTTTATGTATTGAATGATTGACAAATTCAAAGCACACTGGTATTTCTTCAATCTATCAAATATAAAGACTTCAGAAGTGACTGTTCTGAAATATTTACGCAGAGTCTGAAGATTGAAGGATATTTAGATATTGCAACAATTCCAAAGGAAATTCCTTCAGGAAGTATCTCTCAGTGTGAGTACGAATAGAGGACTTGAGAGCATAGTGTGAACATAGGAACATGAGAACCATCGTGGTGTTGATAGAGGACATGATGTCAGTATGAATAGACGACAGTCTCTTGAAAATTTTCTGGGCAACCATCAATGTTCCAGATATCAGTGGATTAGCACCGGCTGCTCTTTGTCAGTACGAAGAAACTTTAAAGCTACATTTATGGCTTAATTTGTTATCTCAATCTACTGAAAGGCCATTTTTTTACCTGTAAATCATACGAGGTCAAAACCCAAATTGTTTCTTTTTACTGTTCTTTCAGTTCGCAACAGCAATATCTACCTTCAGAACTGTCACAAAGTCCTGACACACTATCAGTACTAAACTGTGTATTATGATTTTTCGTGCCTCAAATGAGATAAAATGAGACTTGGTAATTTTTCTTCTGAATAACTTACAACACTTAATAAATTCCTAGTTAAGAACATTACACAGAATTATCCTATTTAACTCAGTTGCTTATGTAAGCCTTACATACAATTACATACATACAATTAATACTTACTTACATACAATTAATTACAGTTCTACAATTAAAGTCAACGTAATTGGCGTGTCCTTCTGACATTTTTGCATATTTATTTCATCATGTATTCCGTATTTGTCGAGAAGAATGAAAATTGTTCTGTTTGTTATACTCCTTGCACTTAAAGAACGAGTAAACACATTTCAGAAACCCACCAATATGTACTGATAACATGTGTATTGACTTTTGTTTCACATGTATAAGAGAAAGTTAAGTGGTCAAGCTATATTTTTCATTCAAAGAAAGAAGATTCAAAACAGGTTTCATTAGTTTAAAATTACATGAATAAATTTAAATAGGCTAGAATATTTCACCCATTTATGTTACTATGGGGTTTTATGACTTAATCCAGCACAGTGTTTCTCTACCGGGGTTTCTGAAAATATACTGCTTTGGAAGAGATTCCTAGTAGTTTTGGGTGAAGTAGCGATCAATATCCTGATAGTAAGTATAATTTTTACTTACTATCTGTTTACTGTACAGGCACGCTCCATAAGTAAACTCATCATTAACCGACGTGAAGACGCCATTAACTCATTCATAATTAATCAGAGTCACAGCTTAGAAAAAAAAAAAAAAAAAAAAAAAAAAGAAGAGAAAAACCCATATTATAATGGACAGAAAAATACTATTAACAGCTTATCACGTCTATTTTAAACCACTTTAAACTGGAGAATAAGTTCGTTCTTTGCGTAAATTAAATCAGTATTCAAAACGAACATATCACATAGTGAGTAAATAAAGGTGGACAAAACCGCTCCTTTAAGGGATCAGATCAAAACCATTAGCTCACTCAAATGAATAATTTTTTATGACTCACCGCTCACTAACACCAACATTCCTGAACAAGATTGTGAACGTTAAGTGAATCAAGAGCGGTGAGTGAAAATGGAGCTAACAGCTAAAAGAATCAAACGAAGAGTGGGATTGGAAGAATGTACTCAATTGAACCGCTAACTGCTTGGATAGGTTTCGTGCAAGGTAGTTTCGAGATTTCATAGAAACCTCCTTTCTACATAGAAATAACGTAAAATTCTGGATGATAAAAAAGATTGGGAAGTTTCAAAAAGTAAACTCATTCTCCATTTAGAAGACAGCATTCATTTCTTCTTTAAAATGAGAATCTGGCACGCTTACACGGAGAAGTCTCAAGTGAGATACCGCTTAGTTTTGTGGAATCGCCGATCACTCACTTAATAAAGTGAATCGATTCTTTGAATCAGTTCGCAAGCGGATCGTACAACCCTAGTGAGTAAAGGAAGAATGAAGAATAAAGAGAAAAAAATTCTAAATGACATTAAATAACAGCATTTACAACAAAAGTTGAAAAATCTTATTCAATAGCAAGTCCTGCGGAGAGAGAAACGTGGCCGATATATTTTGAGCCTGGTTCTTGTACGATAGAATATAGTCCTGTGTTCCAGTTCTTCGAAAAGCTTTGAATTATTTTTTTTTAATTACCGTTGTGTCGTCTTTTTTTCCATCAACGTACAAACCACGTAGTGTTTCCCTAATAGATTGATTCTGCAAATCATTTCTGTAATTGCGAGCTTTTTTCTTTTTTCTTTTCTTCTGTCAACGACGTGAGAGTTGTCTGAATCAGTTATTATACGTAACTCCATAATATTTATAACTAGCAGCGTTCGTCTGGCTTTTTAAATGTACCGGAAAAATGGCTGAAGGGAATACCTAACTAAAAAAACTCTAAAAACTGCGCAGAATTTTACTCTGTAGAACAACTTCATCAAAAATAAAATAAAAATCTGAAAGGTTTCAGATTTTAAATTACGTCCAAAAGAGCATTTTTTTTTAACATTTGTCTGCTTAAACCATAAAATTCAGTTCAAGAGCAATATTGCAAAATACTTTTAAATTGAGCATATCTTTAGAATTTCCGATACAGAGTCTCCCGCGCTGGAAATAAAAAATGTTTCTTCTGTACAACGTTGCCATGACTCGTTTTGAAATCCTTGAATTTGTTAATCAAAAATTCGTTCAAGTTTTACAAAATATGAAATAGATCATAAAACAAATTCCAAATTTCAAATTTGGTCTTCCACATGCCCATATTCGCAGTACGATTACTTCATTCAAAATTCGATGGCTCTATGTACCGTTGTTTTATCACAATGCGAGAAATAGACATACATTTATGCAGATTTTTCATTATTTAATTTCTTCAAATATAATGCAGGACTCTAAAATTTGGTGGCAACAGTTTGAAAGGTGAAACGGGCATTTATAGTGAACCAACGCAAAATCGCAAAACGAAAACAATAGTCCATCAGGGACATAGCTGCTTTGGAGTAAAAAACCACAAATTAAAAAAAAAAAATGTATCACATATAACAAACTTACAATGAAATAAGCAATATCCCTTAATACAAATATTAATTATTCTAATAAATAAATTACACCAAAATTAACACCAGCGGCCGGGTGGTCGCAGAACACTGGTAGTTCAATCTAATTTCGATAAAAGACCGAATTACTAACTGCATTTGTACTACTTTTTGTGTTTTTTTCCCATGCGTAACGTGGATATAAGCCAGTTTCCCTCAGAAATTCCTCTATGAGAGCATCCCTTCCCTTAGGCAGACAGCCCTCGTATTATTTGTCAAAACCAAATAAAGCAAAGAAAACTGAAAGCAAGTCATTTACCAGCACGCACAAATGATAAACGAAAGTTCTCATACCTCGTGGAACGTGAGCATTCATTAAACCTTACGAACGATAAATACGTAGTTGCGCTCATAAACTATTAAAAAATATAAAAAATAAAAATGGAAGCACCCAAGCTATAGACGTTTCTAATGTCGATACGCATATAAGTATAACTAAACATGGTAAATAATAAAAATCGTTTTCGTATGTACGATTTTTTACTGAACTTAAAAAAAAAAAAAAAAAAAAAAAATCTGCTGTATAACTAAGTGCTTTCTCTTATTTTTTTTTTTTTTTTTTCAGATCAAGTTAAGAAATATTCGGTTAAAAGGATAAAGTAAGACGCATAAAGCGTTAAAATACATATAGTTTAGTTTATAAAAGGAATTACAACAGCTTAGTTGCTTGCATTCAGACCGCCAGTGAGTACTGAGACCGGTGAACTTTGGTATTTCACCCGCGTTAAACCCAGAGTACAGGCTTGTTCCATGAAACATTTCGTGGTTTTCTCCATATGTAAAGCCAATATGAGCCACTTGTCCTCAGAAAAATCCTCTACAAAGTCTTCTTCTTTTAATTAAATAACCTTAGAGCAGTTTCGATTTTCCGAACAATTTAATCCAACTTCTCGCATCGAAAGCGACAAATCAATGTTCTGTGAGGCTTCCTACTCTTTAGTGTTTGAAGCAAAAAGTGCCAGTTAGGAAACATATTAAAGCTTGTTTGCCACATAAATCTAATCATTTTTCCTACGTAAGTTTTGATAAATCAAGAAGTAACACTTCAGACTCAAAGTTTCAACGTTTTATTCAATTTTATATAAAGATTAGTGATCTCTATATTGTACGTTATTTATGACTCATACAGATCGGACGAACATTTTAGGCGTTATTATTAGTTCTGTAAGTTATTACGCAGTGATGACACATTTTACAAATCTATGGTTTTTAGTTCAATATTTATTTTTCATTTCTTTGGAGCCTGATTTCCGCAAGGGAAAATAGGCCCTAGAGTTCCACTTTCAAGAGGGCTCCAATTTCTTCTACAGAATTTTAAATATGTAAAATTTAACATATTGCTTTCATTTCTTGTTTTTAAAAGTGTAAAATCAGAAATGGAAACAAAATTTAAAATTTTGTATTTTAGTTTCTTCCTTTTTTAATGACCTTCTTTAAAATTATTTAATTTTTTTTTAATTTTTATGTCGCCCTTTTTATGATCTATGAACAAATATTGCATAATGAGGAGAAAGAGGGAACATGAATTCTGAAATGTACAGAAATAAATAAAAAAGGGCAATATTTTCTAACTTACTTCAAAAAACTGCTAAACTGTACCAAAAATTTTCTGTCTTTCCCAAGTTGTGTGAATCTAATCTTAGCAATTAATGATAATAGTTTTGGAAAGAAGCTGACGAATCCAGATTGCAAAAACACTCGAGCGCTGACTTCCACGTTTTTATCCACTAGAATTCTCGCAGGATCGCCAGCTGGGAGACGTTTCCCAAAGACCAAAGTCGTCATATTGTTAGAGACACTTGCAGAAAGGAATCTATAGATATTTACAGGTTTTCCATCATGGGTCTTGAGCTAGTCTCTGAATTCCTCCACTTCTGCCTGCAAATAGAAATTAATTTAGTACTTACTTTCGACAAAATAAATAAATAAATAAATAAATAATAAATAAAAAATGAAATAAAATAAAATAAAATAGATAACTTTTGCAGTGCAAGTTCTGGCCGTTGAAATCACTGTAACAACTACAGAGATCGTAGAAATATTTACAAGGGTTTTCATGTAACAACGTTTATATTTTTCTTAACATCTTTGACAAACCTAACGTGATTTTTTATAAAGACAAGAATTTTGGAGTTATCTAAGTATAAAGTACTTATAAATTATTTCCATATCTTATTAAATCTTTAAAAATTAGGTAAGAACTTATAAATTTGTATACATCTGATAAAAAACTTATTTACATGACAAGAAAAAACAGAAAGTTCACTAAGACAGACAAACAATAATAAATAATCAGAAGGAAGGTGTTTTGTATAAATTACCTGAAAAACCATTTTATAAAAATCAAGACGCTGTTGATTTAAATAATTTCTAGATCAATCCATATGACCTGAATAACGCTGATGTTATAGCTAATTTAAAACATGAACTGAAAGTTTCGTGAACTGAAACTTTTCTCTTGGTGAGCTTCCGTATTGGATGACTGAGCACTTTCGCTTCTACCTCCCTTCCTGTAAACACGCTATTTCACTGTGCTCTCGTCCTGTCGCAACAGTATATTAAAAAAAAAGTTAATTTTTCAGTCTGCCTCGGCTGCAAAGTTTGTTCTTCACTACGGATTCAACATTCTACGTTCTATGCTATCATTGCGTTCTATGTATCTGCGCCAGTAAAGTACTCCATTAATCTGCGTACTTTGGGAGAGGTAAATAATAATTTACTGTTATAAGAAGATATTTTATTAGAGAACTCTCTTCTAAATGTTAACGTAATTGGACATTTCTGAATATAATGTTTATATTGTAATATTTCTGATAATATAATAATGTAATATTTCTGACTATAATTCCGTCCTCTTGATTTAGTTTTCCGCATTTACATTGTATAGTCACTTTGAGCAAATGAGTATTATAGGCTTTGGTCAAAAATGCAAAGATTGGCTTTATTACCAAAGCCAATCTTTGCATTTTTGTAAAAACGGACGAGAATTTATCTGGCAGTGTAAAAGGCTACTCTTTAGCTGTAAGACAAATTGAGTATATCTTTGTAAATCTAAAAGAAGCGTTCTTCACAGGCACTTTTAAGAATTGCAGTCATGTAACAGCTTGAGCCAATTAAAAACCTCATCATAATAGAGATTCTGAAACTTATGATATTATGTTTTATACTTTTTGCCTTGTAGATCCATTAACCTATTCTTCATTGTAGTTTTCTTTGAATTCTTTTTTAACAAACTTCTGATGATTCTCTCTGAAAAAGGAGTGGTAATAAGGATATCAGTCGAAACAGTTGCATATATAAGAAAAAAATCAAACATCTCATTACCGCAAATGTCACAATGATCATGAATCTAGAATAATTTTACATCGGTTTTTTGAAGCAAAAAATATTTTAAGCTACGAAATATTGCAGATTCTATTTGCATACAATGGCAAATTTTGAAAAACTCTTCGACTAAAAATTTAATAGCATCATTATCTTAAAATATTACAGATTATTTATTATCTAGTTGAAAGCTTCTTTTATTGCAACTAATTTGACTTGAAAGACTCAAGAAATATCGTTAAGTCTAATTGATATTCTGTAACAACATTATTGATAATAATTGCAAACCCTGCACCTACCCTGTCTTGAGTTTTGGAAATACCGGTTAAAAAATTGCAGTTTTAGGTCATTAACTTTCATTTCTAATTTTGAAATATAGAACAGTGTGAAAATTTTAAATAAGTAACAGACGAAATGACAGTGTCACGTGCAAAGCAAGTAAAACGAACGTTTATATTATAAAAAGAATGTATCGTAAACGTTTTCGTTTTTTCTTTATCTTTATTGTCTTATCTTTTTCAATTTTCCGATACATGGCGCAAAAACATATTGCAATTGTAAAATTATTATAATAAGTTAAAAAATTATCAAAATGGCTAAAATGTTTGACGAACCACTGCTGCAGGTCCCGCGACCCCCATGGGGATGGTGTCATTAAACTGTGGGTCGCGACCCACAGTTGAAACAGTTGAAACTCTGGGTTAGACTACTTTTTAATTGTAAGACAAACTGAGTATACCCTTTTAAATCTACACTCATGTCCATAAATTAAGGATAATGCGAAATCAGGCAAAGGAAGAGTTTAACTTATTTGCAAAGATTATTTATTAAACAAAAGGTAAAGAGCAAAAATGATGCTATATGTTTGATATTATTAAAAAAATTAGCGATTTTTTTCTCCCTGGAGCAAATTACAAAAAACACCTATTTACAAAAAACCAATATTACATGGTTGGTATGATTGTTAATACATTGTATGTCTCCCAGACGATGCAATACAGTCCGTACAACGCCTAGGCATGCTGAGTATCAAATTATCGATCTGATCTTGGGGAATATGACACCACTCAAAAAGCAATGCTCTCCGAAGTTCCGGTAGACATGTAGGAGGAGGTTGATGGGTTGCAACTCGTCGACCAAGCATGTCCCACACGTGCTCTACTGGATTCAAGTCCGGTGAGAATGTTGGCCAGTCCATACGGGTGATATCCTCAGATTGAAGGCATTCGCTTACGATGTTTGCACGGTGAGGACGGGCATTGTCATCCATAAACACAAATTATGCGCCCGTGGCGTCTCGAAACAAACGTACATGTTGTTCCAGAAAGACGTCCCGATAGATTTGGCTTGTCATGGTTCCAATTTGAACTTGCAGGTCAGGTCTGGAACCCAGAATAATTCCACCCCAAACGAGCACTCCTGCACCACCGTAACGGTGTCGTTCAATGATGTTTCTTGGTGGTAATGGGTACCTGGAGCTCTCCATATAAAAGTCCGGCGAGAATCAGACTGCAAGCTAAACCTGGACTCGTCGGAAAATATCACACAAGCCCACTGTTGCGGTGTCCACAATGCATGCTCTCTACTCCAGACTAACCGCAGGAGAGACAGTAAGTCAGTGACAGTGACAGGAGACAGTGAGTTGCAGTAAGTGGAACGCATCTGACTCTACGAGCATATAGACCAGTCTGCCCTAAGCGTCTGTACACGGTCTGCCTTGAAATTGTCGTACCAGTGGCTGAAGAGAGCTGACGAGACAGGTCTGAGGCTGTGCTCCGCCTGTTTCTTTTGGCAGTAACTGCCAAATACCGGTCCTCATTCGGCGTTGTAACTCTGGGGCGACCTGTGCTGTAACGTCTACTCACATAACCGTCATCTTGGAATCGTTGCCAAAGCCTGGAGATGACACTCTGGGCAATTCCAAGTTTGTCTGTTACCTCCAGTTGAGTACGCTCATATTCCAAACGGCCGATAATTCTACCACGTAAAAAATCATCCAAATGCGTCCTTTGTGTCATAACTATTCGGTTATTGCACTGAAATGCTTATAAAGCGCCTGCGAACAATTTTACTTCTTTGCCTGTATTCCTTATATATCACTCTCTTACACTCTCGTCATTGTGACGTACCATCGGTGTCATCTAGTTACTTCCTGAAATTTGCATATGATTCTTGAAGATGTGTGTAGTGATTTTACAGGTGATGTATTTATTTTAGAGTTCGATTTCCGCGTGACTCCGAATTATCCTTAATTTATGGACATGAGTGTAAAAGGAGCGTTCTTCAGAAGCACATTTAAGAATTGTAGTTTAATACTGATACAGACTTTTATGCATATATTTATTTCAAATTAATTTCTGCATTTTGTTAAGGGCAATTCAACCTTAGAAATGGATTGCAAATTTAAGTTTTTAAACATATGTATAATAAGGAACGCATCAACTTGCTTGAACGAAGAATTAGACAAAAATGAACACCGCTGCTAGTTAGGTTGACTTTTGAAGGACACAGATGAATATGAATGTCTTGTATCATATTTCTGAAGGTTCTAGACACAACAATTTAACAGTTTTAATAGAGACATACACACACACTAATAAATTTACTGCAAATTGTACTCGAACTTTTTGAAAAATATTTAATTACCATTAACAAATTTTCCCACTGGCTCTTCCCGAGTCCAATATCCCTCATAATCTTCATAGTATATCTTCTTTGGTCTGTCCATTCTTCACCGTTGGTTCCTACAAAACCTGGGAATTATAAAAAAAGGATTGCGAACTGTTTAGGCTGTAGATATTGTATGTTTAATGTCATCGATGACCATATCTTGCATACTATAATCGTATTTTAACTTTTGGCATTTTAAATGAAAAATGAAAGATTGTGTGAACACCACTGTCTGCTGATTTAAGATACTTAAATCAAAGGCCTAACTTAATGTTATCATGAGAAGTATTGTCTACCATAGCCATCATAGAGGGTAAATTTTTCATTTACTTTATATTTCCGTGTATAAGCTGTAAATTTAACTTGCCTTTTTTAACTGCAGCAGCTTGAAAGTAAAATTATACGCATGTTCAAAGTGATTACAAAATAATTTACAAAATGATGGGAAAAAAAAAGAAGAAGAAAAGATATAAGTTGTAATTGGAAAAGTATAATTTTTATTTAATTAAATCTTAATATACATTAACTAAATTGTTCAACATCGGGCCCGATTAAAATTTTTCTAGCAATTCTTAGATGTCTCTTTCTGCCAGAAGCAGGTGAAGGCCAGTTGTCTACTTGCGCGTGACATTTTTATCACCCACTTCCACTGTTGCAGCTAATAATATCTTCAGTTCCGTTTACAGAATTCAACAAAAGTGATAATTTTAAGTTTGAAACTAGTAGAGTGTGCTGCCCACTTTTGACCGGGCATCTTTTAGAGTCTACCAGAAGTGAAGAACTGCATTTTACTCGTAAAAGAAGTAGCTCAATTCAGCGAAGAAAATCCTGTGATTGCTTCAGAACGGTTATCACAGTTCAGAGCCGAAGTAAAATTCGCCATATTATTACGAAAGAGCCAAATGACGTGCATGCCCTAAATTTGACAGAATTGAGAACAGGTTTTGTTTATTTGATTACGTCAAAGCACTCGAGAGCTATCTGCCTAAGGAAAGGAATGTCTTCGTGGAGGACTTTCTAAAGGAACTTGAATTCTCGTAATAGAATTGAGAAAGAATTAATTCCAAAAGTGCTATTAGTTCCAAAAGTGCCCTTTCATTTGATAATATTTTCACTTTTATTTTCGAATAGAAACTAAAGATGAATTAACAGTCACAGTTCGTCTGATCAATGTGCTCAATAAAGAATAAAAAATTTCTCGGATTTGTTAAAAAAGATGTAGAAGATCTGAAATAATTTTAAGGTCTTTAGTGATAAAATTTTTCGTAGGATTTTTACTTAAATTGAGGGCGTTTGTAATAGAGGTATTTTTCTGATATTATCGTTTGGTTGAGGATTTGCTTCGACATGTGCAGATTTAGCCACCGATGCGTGACTTTTGCAAGTCGGGTGTTTGTGTTTTTAGTAAATTTTCTGAAATATTCCCAGCTACGAGCTAATTTGCATCCTGGTGGGGAGCTGACGAAAGCAGAAGAGATAGTAAATGTAAAATAATAAGACAGAGGGTTAATTAACATAAACTTTACAATTATTCCTAAATTGTCGCTCAGTTTTGTAAAAAAATTGTTTTTGTTATAAAATATATTTAAATAAATAGAAACATAAATAATCTATTCTTAATATTTAGATTATATAATGATATAGTGATTAGTGATGCTTTCTCAACGATGACCTGGGATACAAAGTACCGATGGCTGCAGGATCGAATCCCGGAGAAAACAACATGTTTGACGTTCGTATGGTATCTGTGCGGCAAGGGAGCACTCAAAATACACCGTGAGCAGAAGATCCTCTAGTTCAGCGGTCGCCAAGCGGTGGTTCGTGAAAACGTTTTGATGGTCTGCAGAAAAATTGAGGCATTATTCATATTTTTATGAAGTTCAGTTTAAAAAATGACGAGTAATTATGGAATGTGGATTATACTTTTTTTAAAATTTAGCTATTATTTTTAGCGAAATTCCTTCTGAATTTAGCTTCTTTTGCAGGTGTATCTAGCGACATTTGAAAGTGAGAGTTGGCATCCATGGACATGCTGCTGTTATCAATAATAGCGCAAACTAGAATTCCCTTTCCTTTTGAATTCAAACATATGCTATTGTAGTTGTTAATAATACAGTTTTTCTCCGTGTCAATAGACAACTTGATGGATTTTTAAGAGATCCATCTGCATTCTTGTTTAATAATTGCCATCACTGGAAAGTTTCCGTTTTTGTTTTTTCTGACTGTTGATCGATGGCGCCATTGCTGAGTAAGCGATATTATTATGCTTACAATAATTAAAAATTGGTAGCATAACACTTTCAGTTTATTGATATTGCTTTGCGTTTGCCGATTTGTTCTTGCTTTGCGTGAAGTTCCTTTTCAGTGATATGATGTGAAGCTTTCTGAAAGAAGTTGAGTTTTTGTTTTTTCAATAATGTTACCCATAATCAGGGTGTTTTTGCGTATTAATATGTTGTTTTTAAGGTCTGATTTAAGATGTTTTTTTAATTCATATTAGTGGTTCACCAAATATAAAATTATATGTAATGGTCCGTGAAGTTCTAAGGGTTGACGACCGCTGCTCTAGATAGGTTGCTGGTAGGGAAAAAAGGAGTGGAAGATCATCGGATTGCTTCCTTCTGAAATATTCTTTTTCAAAATTAGAGCGAATTTGTACAGTTAGTAAGTTTGGACTATACACTGCGGGAGGAAAAAAAAAAAAAAAAAAGTTTTATATCTTCCGTTCTACTGCGCCGATTGACGAAATTCAACTTTGCGTTCTTCATGTCTCGAAAGCGCTACTTAGGATATATATTAGATTTATATATAGCATTATTCTCACATAGGTATTTTGCACAAAATCGGATTTTTTCTGTAATGACATGCCAGTTTATTATTTTTTTTTTTTACATATTTCCATTCTATGACTCAAATAATGCCTGGATATTAAATTTTGTAATTTTTGGTGAGAAGTTTACGGAGAAATTTAAAAATTTATTTTGGCAATTTTTCTTCAGTTTGCGCCAAGAATAATTCACTTGGCGAACTTCTTAATTTATGGCAATCTATTTTTCTTTCCTTTTTCTTCATCGTTCACGAGCGGAAAAAAGTTATCGTTCATATTTCCAAATAATTTTAACAAAAATGTGCGTAAAACACATTTTCGTTATTATCGTTTATGATAAATACGGCAAATTTCAAAATACGCCAAAATGTAAATTTACATTTACCTTAGGAAATTTTGAATAAAAAACTCTAATTTTTTCCAGGTATATTTAGAAATATATCTACTTTAATATAATGCCAAAATGTTTATAGGTTACTATTCAAAATATTTTTTGAAAAATCTATAAAAATCATTTAAAAATACAAAATTTAAAAATAAATCATAAAAAAATAGGCAAGTTTTATTTGGAATGAACCTGAATTCCAAAATATGAAAGGAAGAATAAAAAAAGTTTAATAAAAAATGAGATATTAATAAATATGTATCAAATTCAATTAACATTGAGGAGCCAAAAGTTTGCGAGGTACTTTTTTAAAAACTACTCGTGCGATTTTTACAAAACTTGGCAGTTTGGCATTATTTGAGTCGCAGAATCGAAATATGGAAAAACATGCGCATGTTATTTCAGGAAAAGGACGGTTTTGTGTCAAAATACCTGTATTAGAACAATGCTATATATAAATCGTTCTTTCGAGACATGAAAAACGCAAGCTGAATTTCGTCAATCGGTCCACTAGAACGAAAGATATAGGAACTGTCCCAATTTTTTTTTTCGTAGTGTACTTGTACTACCAATGGTGAACTTCTGGTATTCCACACACTTCTACCCATACCTGCATGAAAATATATAACGTTTGTACATTCGAATCCCGCTATATCTATATATATTTTATAATCTTTTTTTAGTTTTAATTTTTTTTTTATACACAGTACATACAGTACATACACTAAAGCAAAAAGCGGATAGGAAAGATTTTAACGATTAAACTAAACTCAGTGGCGCAAACAGCCCTAATGGGCCAAGGTCTGCAGTGCCCCGAAATCTGCTTTCTTGACCGTGGGCCCCGGCGTGCGTAAGCATATGCCCTGAACAAGTGGTCAGCCTGGTCGCAGGACCCCCAGTGTTTAGTCCTCAAGCGAACTTGGTACTCATTTTATCGACCCAAGGGATGGAAATCAAGGGATGAAAGGCTGAGTCGAACTTGCCCAGCCTGGGGTTCGAACCCCTGACCTGTGGTGCTGCTGCGCGATGCGCTAGCTACTGTGCCACCGGGCCTTTTTTAACGATTAATAGGCTCATATTATCTTGCCTGTTGTAAAGTGCCACCTGAAAATTCGTTAGTTTTACCATTAAAGCGATTTAGAAGACTGTAACCAAAAACTTAAATAATATTCCTAAAATAGGCTTTACGAAGAAGTCAGTCGGTTGTATGAATGTGCCAAACATTATGTTGTGTGAACGCGTAGAATTATAAGAATTACATATTGGAGGCTTTTAATAATAAAAATGTTTTGATCTTCGCCTTTCGATTTTATATGAAGTTAGCCCTAAACCCTTTTTGGTGGCTATATCCGTTTTCGGTTTTATGCTCTTTAAGTTGTTCAAGACTATTGGAAATCTTGACTTCCTACATTGGCTACTGTCTGTTGTCAATAGTAATGTATGTTCTTTTATACATTACTGTCATTGTTCAATCAATCGAAATCCGATATGCAGTTCACATGGAATATGAAAATATTAGGTGCTGTTTAATATAGCATATTCAGCCTGCTAAAATTTGAACGAAATTATAAGCGTAGAAAATTACTGTTTCTGTTAGGCAGTGGTCAAAGTACTTGTTTGCAGATTATACAATAGTAAGTTACAGCTACAGATAGCATTAAGATAAAGACAGCCAAAGCATTGTTTTACTAATCTAAGCTTATAATTTTCTTTGAACGTTAATCTAACTTACCGAAACCATCAGGATGGAAATCAAATATATGTGGTGGCCGGTCCAGAAGAGCCTGTTGGTTGAAAGCCTCTTTTATGAGTTTGTAGTCGTTGAGCACAACTGTAAAATTCCTCCCAAGATATAGACTGGGGAGAAAGAAAAACCTATATAATACTTTGTAATGATATTATAATAAATAGCAAAGATATTGGAATGAAAAACAATTTGTAATGATATTATGATGAATAATAATTTGTAGGTTAGGAAGGTTTGTTATATTAGGAAGGTTAGGTATAGTAGGTAGGTTATAAATTTATTTATTTGCTAGTTTTTCAGATACCTAAAAAAAGTGTTATACTTCATATAATGCATATGAATATTTGATATTTTTGCGGGCTACTGCTTCATGGAGATATCTTTAATAATCATTATAATTTATTAATAACTATGCCGGATTATATAATTTATTAATAATTATGGCAGATGAGGAGGAAATTGATGCTTTATTGAAATAAAGAATGCCGCCCAGACGGGGAAGTGGTTAGTAACTCTGACTGCCATACCGAAGGGATCGAGTTCGAATCCCAGAGACGGCATGCATGTTATTAGTCCGTCCCTTCATAGGAGGCAACAGTAGAACACATATTAGGTGCCTCCAGAAAAAAGAGACCACCGCTTTTGGCTTTAGTAGTGGCCAACGCCTGTAAACGGCTAAAGCCGAAAAAATACAGTTATCACACAAAATAATAATCGTGGCTTTTTTAAATACCCTTATTCACTGTAATTAAGTGTTAAATAATTATGATGTAATTGTTAATCTTAAAAAGACTTTGCCTGAACGATTGGTTTTATTTAATACTGATTAAACCCTGTAGTATTTTAGGGCTCTCAACTAGCAGACAGCTTTTTTACTTCTTTGTACGAAGTAAAAGATGCATTGTAATCGAGAGAAATTTCGGGTATCATGTTTCAACCAAAATATCTTTTTTTTTTTTTTTTTTTTTTTTTCCCGTTATGTCTCTAGTAGGTATGGACAACCCACTCGTAGGGTCCATTTGTTGGGAGTGGATAGTATGAGGAAGATTAGCTGCGTTCACTGACCTAAAAGCGCGTCTTTTACGGTGGGTCTAGTCAGGCTTGACAGGGACTGTAAGGTTATTGGCAAGTCTGTCTCGGGATGTGAGTTCGCTACATATTGAATTGTAAGGGTGGTCTTTGGAGGTTTCGGCCTCACCTCTGCAGTTGGAGTGTAACTCGTGTTCGTGTTAAAAGCTAGATCTGTGTTCTTTCTCCAGTGCAATGTACATACGAACAGAATAGATGATTCTATTTTCCGTAATGGATTGTAAAATGAATTTAAAAGGACTTTTTTATGACGTCTGTAGGTACGTACGTAAGTACACTGATTATCATTATTTAAGAAAAAATTACAAAAATGACGATTGCTCTAAAAGTTACATGCAGAATTTAATGAAACTGACCCACAATATACGATACTTACTAAGGTGTAAAATAACACGGAAATGAAAAGAAATCACCTTACTAGACAATTATGGTGTTATAGAAATTAGTATAAAATGAACACTTCTGCAACTAGACAAGAACGAGTAGCCGTAGAATGTTGAAATTTTGTATATGGGACTGCTATAACATGTAGTTGTGCACTTCCCTTTTTCGTTGCAATCGGATGCACCAATCACGCTCACACACACACACACACACACACATATATATATACAGACCCACTCTGTTACCTGGCTCGGTGAGCTTAGTCTTTTTTAATTGTTATTTGTTGGTAAATTGTGCATTTTTTGCTTAAAAGTGATTGAATTATGTGGTTTTTATGTTCCTGTTAAGACTTTTAAGCCTTTAGATTTTCTGTATGCAATAGTTGTAGAATTATCATCCATTTACAAGTGGCGAATTAAGTCTAACGAACCGCCATTTGTTTACATTTGAAACTCAATAAAATATTTAATTCAGATTTTGCACCTTCAATATCTTTTTGCCGAGTGGGGTCAATACATCTATAATGAAAAAAAAGTTTAAATGAAATGCATCAAAAATGTGTATAATTTAATATGCCATTGAAGAAAGTCATCTGGTGCCCGCATCGGATTTTTTATTAACATAGTTTTGTAATATTACTTTGTATTCAAGCTATAGAAGGTTTTTGCAATGTTAATTAGTACATTTCTACAACAAAGATGGCAAATATAATTTAGAGTTTTTTTATCATCTGGGTTGATAAGGCTTAAGTGACTTGATTGTTATCTGGATGAACGGAAAGCTTATCAATACTTTCATAAATCAAATTCTTGTCGGAAATGAAAATTTTAGATTGTAGATTAAAACTGAAAGGTAAAATAACAATTTAAAGTAGCATTTTTATAAACAATGACTGTTTGAATTATCCGGAAATCTTATCGTTTTCCGTAATTCATACCCGCACTTTCTTTAATCGCTACGCATTCTTTGGAATGCCGCATTCTTAGATAAGTATTTCGAGATACAAGGAAACAACATGGGAAAGCATTGTTTATAATCTAGCATGCTCATAATGACAATACCTAGGTTCATTGGCTAGCGAACGATGTCTTCATTACGAAAATATATCTCACACACAAGCAACTCAAAATAATTATATAAATAAATAATAAAAAAAATCTGAAAGGTTTCAGATTTTAAATTACGTCCAAAGGGGCGCTTATTTAACATTTTGCGTGTTAACTTTATTGATTAAATATCACGTTCTTCGCACTTAAACCGTAAAATTATATTCAAGAGCAATATCGCAAAATAGTTTTAAGTTGATCATATCTTTAGTAGGTTAGGTTATTTAATTACGGCAAAGCCTCGAGGGCTATCTGTCTGAGGGGAGGGATGCCTTCGTGGAGGACTTTCTAAGGGGAACTAGCTTGTATACACGTTAGACATGGGGAAAACCACGAAAACACCCATGCAGCCAGCCCGTTCGCGGGATTCGAACCTCGGACGGAACTACCAGTGTTCAGCGACATTACCGCTCGGCTGCTGGTGGACAAAGAAATAATGAAATAGTGACAGAAATATAAATAGTAATAATAATAACAGTAGTAAACAGTTATAGAAATAATTAGATTCTTTCATACACTGAAAAATAAAATAGTGTAGCTGAAATAATATTTGTAAATTATCGCAAATAAACAAAAGATATTTAAAAGGAGAGATTCTGTTTTACTTAACGAACTACTCAAAGATCTTTTCTCTTCTTTAAACTATATTTTTTTTGCTATTTCATATTTTTATTTTATTCAGTTTTCAAATTTTAATTTTTTATGCTGGAAATCATAAAAGGCGTGTGCATATTTGTAAGTATATGAGTGCTGAAATAACACATGAAGATTTTATGACTCTTTTTAAATATATAATTCATTAAATTAGCTCAAAATATAAAATAAAAAGATAAAAAATAAAATAAAATATTTAAAATTTGATCTTTGTGCAGAATTACGTGTATTCGAAATTTGATGTCTTTAAGTACCATCGTTTTTCTAAAATGCGACAAATTGTCTCACACATACTTCATTTCTTAATAATAAACACAAAATAAAAAAATTACAGACCTGAATATATTTCCGTATTTTTCAGTCAATTTCTTAAATGATTTGAAAGATTCTTTATCAAGGAATGGTAGATACCCTACAAGAGGGAGACCAACGGGGCCAGGCGGAAGTTTATAACTGCGTCTGCTGCACCACCAATACAGTGTGGCAACAGATAACAGAATTCCTATAAGAATAGGTGTAACGTTTAAATCCTTTAAGTATTCCATCCTATACTACAATAAAGCGATCTAAAAGAGCAAAATTTAGCATATATATATACTACAGAGTATCATTTCATTGATAAGAGAACAAACGTATAACAATTGCACGAAGTGAGAGCCAAGGCTTCTGGAAAATGAACAGATAACGAGAACGCTGTATCATGATATTTTATCGGATTTATTTCTAATTTCATTGCTTAGTTTTATGATTACAAGCAAAAATTTTTCAATCAAGTGTAAAGCCTAGGACTCGACCCCTTTTGAACTTTTTTTATTTAAGGACTTTTTTATTTAAGAACTTTTTTTTATTTAAGGACTTTTAAAGGTTTATTTTTATGAATATTATTAAATAGTGTTGTAAAACAAAATGATTTTAAGCTGAAAAAAATTTTTGCTGCAATATTTTTTAAATTAATATTTTTTGAAGAAAAATTGAGCATTTAAAATGTTTTTCTTTCCCTACAATTTCAACGTTTCGCTCCAAAATTTTATTGTATTTATTAAAATGTTCTTAATAACTTTAAAGGATCGATTTTTCAATTAATGAATTAGCTTTTGAGAAAAAATGTAAAAGACCATTTTTATGTAAAAACTGAAAATATTATGATTTCAATTACATTTTCCCTTCCAATAATTTTTTTTTTTTTCAGTATTTTGCAAAACCCATCCTTGCATCTATTAAGTATATAATTTTAAATAAGCAGTACAAATATCAAGTAATTTATTCCGTATCTGCCAGCTTGCCCGCCGTTGTCAAGCTTGCATATCAGCTAGAAAGTATGATACCCGTTATTAGCGTGATGTTTCCTTTGCACATTCTACCGACCCATTTGGTCCTTCGCGATGTGATGGTCGTATTACATATGGTTTTTGTACGTCTTTGCTTTTTTGTTTTCTGTATGGTCTCATAATGCCACACCAACCTCTTGGATCAGTTTCACGCATATCTATTAAATAGTTTTCGTTTTATCTTTGTTGCTGAGTTTTGGAGTAGGGGTGTTTATCTATATCTGTATCTCTTTCTCTGTATATACATTGTTCGACATTGAAAATGCTACACCAAGAAGAAGTGGTCAGAAATTTATGCTAATTTTAGAGTAGACGCACGTCACTGAGTTATGCGAATGATGCGAAATGCGCAACTCTCCGCCGCACTTGAAGTAAGATATAAGAGAAAGAACGTACAGAATGCGCAATATTCGTGTCGTTATTTCTGCCAGAAGAATTATCGAAGATTTTACGAGGGGTATGGTGATCGGACTAAGAAGAGCGGGTTGCTCCTTACGTCAAATCGCAGCTGATACCCACATGGATGCGAGCACAGTACATCGGCTATGGCGAACATGGTTGGAACAAGGAAATGTGGGAATAAGGAGGGGTACAGGTGCAGCAGAGTGACGTCAGCACGCGTAAATTGAGGCCTACGTGATACGTATATCACGTAGGCCTCGGCGTAAATCGAAGCATCCGCCAACAAGCTGTGGTGGTCCCGCAAGTCACTTGCACCGCCATTCTGCAGCGTGTGCAAGATACCCTGGATATTCCCGTGTCGACCAGAAGCATTTCCCGTCGATTGGTTGAACGTGGCCTGCACTCACGGCATCCGTTAAGATTGTCATTGACCCACAGTATTAACGCCAACGTTTAGAATGGTGCTGGACAGGAGCGATGTGGATGACAGAATGGCGAAACGTCGTGTACTCAGATGAGTCACGCTTCTGTTTATCCAGCGACAGTCACCGCATACGTGTGTCGCGTCGACGTGGAGACAGATCTAATCCGGCAGTAACTGTGGAACGCCCCACCGCGCGACAACGTGGCATAATGGTTTGGGTCGCCATTGCCTACGATTCCAGGTCACCTCTAGTTCGTATTCAGAGCGCTATGACGGCCCAACGATACTTAGATAATGTACTGCGGTCGGTGGCAATCCCCTACCTTCAGGGGCTGCCTAATGCAATTTTTCAGTAGGATAACGCCTCTGACTATCATTTTGAAAATAAAGATCACTTATTGCTGCCTGCTGTCTCTGTCTTTTTTCCAAATTTCATCACTTTCTGACCACTCCTTCTTGGTGTTGCATTTACAATGTCGAGCAGTGTATATAAACAGTATTACAATTTTTTTATATAAAAAAATACCTCAATATTATTACCACGCAATATGTATCTGGAATTTGGTTATGGATTTCTTACTATTTTGCCTATAATATATTTAAAACATTAAAATACGAACAACTGAAGAGATCTGAAAACGCTCTTCGTTCTTCTTGACTATTTTAATGAACAAAAACACACACAAGAAAAAAATTAAATACGCAATAAAAGTGTTTATAATTTTTTATTCCTCATTCTTAGAGTCAAATATATACCCCAACGCGATTTCAGATCTCCAAAGGAACAAAAAATTAAAGCCCATTACTTCATCGAAATAACAATAACAATAAAATTAAAAATTTTAGGTTTTATGTACGAATATATATCTAAAATTTTTATATATATATATATGTATATATATTCACTCTTTGCACTTACTTTACATTAACACTCTAAAAATAATTGGATTATGTTTTTTCATTTATATATTAAACTGTATAGAATTAATTTTTCCTCCCTCATGCTTTTATTTTCAAGAATTACAAAAAAGTCTGAAAAATCTGTTTATCATTTATACTGAATTTCCAAATGATACTTCAATTGAATACTTACATTGAAAGATGAGAATAGATTAATTGGACACTGAAAGGTGGAAACGGATAGCTTTTTACTTTTATGAAATACCTGTATTAACGGCCTTTCCTTGGAGAAAAGAAAAACTTGCAGAAGAGTTCCTTCTTTATATTGTGATGTATTTTGCAGTAATTGACAAAACAGGCAATCTTCTTATTAGAACATAAATTTTATTTCTAATTCACGGAGATAGATAATTTGAAGAAAATTCTTAGTGGCAAAAATTTCATACTACTACTAGCTGGTAAAAACTTCAGAATGAGATACATTCCGATGACCTCATTGATCACGTGACTTATGTATACCTTTTTGTAAACAAACAATGCAGATGACCTCAGAGATCACGTGACTTATGTACAGCTAATGCAAACAATCAAGGTCATTCTTCCTCTTCTTCTTTACGTTTTTTTTTTTTTTTTTTTTTTTTTTTTTTTTCAAAACAGCAATATCAGCACAATATAGAATTGAAATACAAGAAATAACATAATAACATACACTGAGGAAGAGAGGAAGGAACAAAATATTTTTTTTTATCTATATAGAGAAACAGATTATTTAATCAGGCCAGGGAGTACGAATTAATGCGTCTACATTTTTATAGATTTTACCACTTCGAGAAACGACCGTGTAATTGTAGGGTTGTATAGTACTAGTGCCCATCTCATAAATCGTGGATTTAGACTCACATTATTTTTGAGCCAAACTAGGAGATTATGATCGGTCATGATGAGGAATTTAGTATGCCCTTCTAAGTAGCATTGAAGTTTCTTTACAGCAAATATTATGGCGGCGCATTCCTTTTCTGTGGTAGAGTACTTTTTTTCAGTTCCTGTAAACTTCTTACTGAGGTATAATACTAGATGTTCAATGTCTCGTTCATCTTTTTGAGCTAAAATGACACACAGAGTCTGAAACATCAATTTGCAAAATAAACTCCTTATTGAAATCAAGGTGAGTGTAATAGCTTTGACTTTTGTAGGCAGTTTTGCTTCTTTAACAACACGCTCTCTTGGTCTATTTAGTTTCTTTGAAAACTTCTCCTTGACTTTGCAATCTCAAATGCCAGGAACTTGGCGATTTATCTAGAACTTTTTAACTGAGAATCGTTTAATTTTTGTCAATTCTTTCTTGTCAGATAGTTTTTGCTTTTTGCGAGATGAATCTTTGGCTAATCTTTGGAATATGATAACAGGTAGTTTGGCGACATTTTGGTAAGGCGATAATGGTTACGAGCAATAATCTGAGAAGTACACAGTTCCAAATTTGCCCTGTAAAAAACATTTCTGTGCACGTTTGTTCCACTACTTTCCGGAAAATTCCGATCGTGATTTGGCTAAAGTGCAGAATCGCCCACTTATTTGTTTGCCGCTTTTTACAAAAGTAGGAAGAATTGGACTTTTGTCAATTTTCTTTGACTTATTAAGTGACAATAGGTCGATGTGTACATGGATAAAGTCAAGAGTATGCGCAATGCCATTTTGTGCAATTCTGGGATGTTTTTTTAAGTGAAAATATGTCGACGTGTACACGGATACCGAGCATGTGCAATTCTTAAAAACGCGACAAGTAGTGAGTGATTCTGCACTTTCCCACGTGATTTTAGCTAACAAGCACTTAGAAACAATTTCGCACGTAATCTTCGTCATGATTAGCACTTTTGTTCTAAAAGTTCAGCATAAGCGCATTTCGGCTAGCATTGATGGTTGGAAAAAATGTTGACTTAAAAAAAAAAAAAAAAAAAAAACTAGCAGGTTGCTGTAGCAGGGTTGGTCGCCAAAAAATCGCCAAGTTACTATAATCCAGATTCACCGATTCGTTTTTCTTATCTGCTACTTGCACTCTCATTGAATATGGCAACTTTGAGTATCCTTCATCATGTTTGTGCCTCTTTGCTAAGTTTTCTGACGCGTGCATAGATCCTGAACGTATGTTTAATTTCTTAACTTTAGAAGCACCTTCATGAGTTCTTTTAACAGAAGCTCTTTTATCTGCTGTTAACAAACTGTCAAACACATGTTTCCTTTTGGAGAAGAAGGAACTGGGGAACTTGTAGAGGAATAATCATATACACTATATCTACAGAAGATGAATCAGCAGGTAAATAAAGTGAGCCAACTTCCATATCAATAACTTCAGTTTTCTCATCAGGAGATGAACGTTTAGATTGTTTATCAGACTTTTGTGAATCATTGACACAAACTTGACCTTTAGGAGGGTGAGTATTAACCAAATTACCCTGAGTTTTAGCACTATTATTTGCTTGGTTCAGCATCAAAGTTGTGTACTTCTGCATTTGATCCCTATATTTTTCAGAAATAACAATTAATTCCCTTTCATTTTCATTTTTATTTCATTTCTTTTTCATCAACAGCCTGTTCTTCTTTACTTTGAAATCATTTGTCTCGCTGGAATTTTCATTTTTAGCTTCGTTCAGCAATGACGCAATCTCTTCTTTGATGCTGAGATTCAGTTAACTCCTTTGAATTAACATTAATCATTTTCTTAATTTCCTTGTCTTCCTCATCAGCTTGCGGTAAAATATCTTCGTCACTCTCAATAAACGTCAGTTCTTCTAGTTTCTCCATTTCGGTTTCTCTGCTTCGATCTTCTTCATTAGAGCTTTTTACTTTAGATCATGTCAAAACTGCATTTATTTTTTCTAAATTTAAGAATTGTTTATCTTTGAACAACTGAGCAGTTTTGTTACCCAATACATATTTGCCAGGATCATTTGTACCAACAGCTGCCTTTGTCTTTATATGACCAAGTTCGCAATTAATTTCAACTTCCGCTAACGGTAGACACACTACATGGTCATTTAAAAGATATTGCACCCAGACATGTTCTCCAGTCATTTTTGCGTTATCTATGTATTTTCGAGAAATAACATCTCCTGTGGCTCCTGTGTCTCGAAGAATAAGCATTTCATACCCATTAACTAAACCGTTAATTGTATATGTCTTTAACAAATCATCATTCGAAAATACGCAATTTGCCTTTTCATTTGGTTTTAAGCGAGGGCACTGAGGCTTAAAACGTTCGTATGACCCACACTCGAAACAACGTAGTCGATATCTTTTGTTGTATAAATTTTCTTGGTTTTTGTTTTGGAACTGATTGTTTTGTCGTTGCTCTTTCTGGTATTTTGAATCAACCCATTTATCAGAATGCTTAAAAGGAGGCGGATGTTCTATTGTTTTCACAAAATTATCGGAACGAAGTTTAAATGATGCTTTGTAAAATCTCTCAGTTTGACTGGCAGAAAATTTCTGTTTTATTGTTTTACTCACATCTTCAAAATTTTCAATTTTCTTAACCATCTCAGTAGATGAAATTATGGTAGTCCATTCATCCATAAAATGTTCTTTGAAATCAGGAGAAGTACGCTTTTTAATTTTAACAACTAGCAGGAGATCTTTTAGCTCTTCAAAAGTTTTAATGTTTAATCTGTTAAGCCATCCTTCTAAATAATTCTTTAATTCATAGTAGAAATCATACCAAGTACTTTCAGTAGATTTTTAGTGTTTATTAAACAGTTGTCGAAATTTTTCCGCACTCAATTTAAATCATTGTAACAGTAAAGGTTTTACATATTCATACTTTTTCGCGTCCTGGTTCTCTATCAATAAGCTGAACAATGTCAGGAGGCAGCAATGAAATAAGTTGAGTCACTTGATTTTCAGCGGGTATATTCATTATTTTAGCTTGACGCTCAAATAACACCAGAAATAAACTTATTTTATAATCTTTAGTAGTTTCTACCGACTGTGCTGTTGCAGCCATTGCTTCCAACTGAAGTTTCTGTAGATCAAAGGCTCTAATTCGCTCTTCTCTTTCAAGCTCTTCTTTTCTTTCTTCTCTTTCGCGTTCCTTTTCTCTTTCTTCTATTTCGCATTTCTTTTCTCTTTCTTCTATTTCGCGCTCTTTTTCTCTTTCTTCTTTTTCGCGTTCTTCTTTTCTTCCCCTTTCTTCTCTAATTGCAGCCAGTAGTTCTCGAGTAAACTCCTCATCATAACCGGGACTTTCAATAATCAGTTTATGCAACTGAGCAATCTTAAATTCAGGTTTCACCGTTAAACCTAACTCTTCTGCTAGTACTTTTAAACCCTGTTTTTTACTCCTAGCTAAGAATGATATGTTGACACAAGTTACCTTTATTAGGCTTCCTTTTGAAATTGAATCTAAAAGATCGTACTTGTATTACAAATGTATAATTTCTGGCGAGACTTAATTTCTCAAATACGAAATTCACACTAACCAATTGGAGAGAATTATTTAAACAACTTTGCCAGGTTGGCACAAAATAATATAATATTACGTCGAGTCGATGTTTTAACTCACTATTCACAAGCCTCGTTAGCTATATAACTATATAAGCACTTTTGTCAGTTAGGCAATACAATGGAATTTTACACACGTCAGTTTGACGATTTTACTATCTATCTCCACTCCTGGTTGACGATAACAAAAACAATTTTTGCAACATACAATCCGTAATACTTCGAGATGACGTTACTATCTACTACACGCCTGGATGGCGAGAACTAAGAAAAATCTTTTGCCAATTCTGCAGTATAATCAAATCACACTACGTCCGTTTGACGTTACTACTTATTTTCCACACGCCTGCTTGGCAACAAATTCAAAAACTCAGCTAGCAGATCTTTTTTTATATAAATGCCGGGATGGTGTCCATATATCAATTATCAACAAAAAAATTCAATACATATAACAGTAAAGGCTAAATAATACTTTTCTACCACAAATATCAATTAAAAATTCCTCCTAATATTTTTAGTATTAGTTATTTTACACAGAAACTTTTACTATTTAAATACAATTCTGAAATGAAATACTAATAAAGAATACTTTCAATACTTTTCAATAAATACTTTTTTATGAAAACCAAAAGTTAATCTTATCTTCGGAGATCAGCAGTATCCTAATTTGACAATATTTTTTTTTTTCTTTTTTTTCTCAGACGTAAGTTATAGAAGCACAGAAGATAACCTTTGAATGATCCTCTTCAAATCTGGCCGTTTGTCCTTGAAATAAACAAACTCGGCAATCGTGTTCTAAAAAATTCAGCAAATTTCTGGGATTAGGAGACCAGCACCATCGAAATTGATAATTGCACTCCTAATTTCCAGTATCTCGATGGAACTTCCAATTAAATTAGACTGTAATGTATTTTGCAGTAATTGAAAAAACAGGCAATCTTCTTATTAGAACATAAATTTTATTTCTAATTCATGGAGGTAGATAATTTGAAGAAAATTCTTAGTGGCAAAAATTTCATACTAGTACTAGGTGGTAAAAACTTCAGAGTTATAAATTTTTAATCATTTCTCACGTTGCTGAGCAACGTTTACATAATACAAATATGGCGTTGCCACTTCAACAATAAATATAATTATTTATTAAATAACAAGCTATTACAATATATTCTATATATGAAGAACAATTAAAGGATTACAATATCCGAAAATTTGTCAAATATTTATTGAAAAATCATTTTATGTTTGTCAAATTAACGCTAGTTTGGTGATTTTGAACTGGAATGAATACATTATTCTTAAATTATGCGTAGTGATATGCTGCAACGTATTATAATGGCTTGTTACATTAGATTCTGTAATCACTATGCCTTATAAAAACTAAAGATATACAAGGAAATATCTTTATTTTTTATTAGTATATATGACCTAATACAAAGCGGTCAAAGCGCATAATTGCCAAAATGGGCGAATTTAATAACCCTTTTATAACATGCAAATATCACCAAAGGCTGATGCAATGGTTGTTTTAATAAGGAAGTTCCTAACGAAAAGATAATGCTTTATATTAGCGCAGTAGATCCATTTTACTTGTAATACAAAGTGAAATTTCTTAGAAACGTGATCATATAATATCTAGAAAATGCACTTGAATTCATTTGAAGAAACGCGAGAAGTTTGAACCACGTTCTCATAAATAATTTCATTATAAAGATGTCTTCTTATGAAAGTAACATGCCTTTAAGTAATTTTCCGTTAGAGTTTTCGTTAAAGAAAAATGATGAATCGTATGTTATCCAATTAACGAACAAAACAAGTAGAGCTCTAGAATTTCAATGCATGCTACCTCAACCGGAAACTTTCAGCTGCAGCCCTGGAGACGGAAGAATAAAGGGTGAAATTTTTTAATCATATTTAAATATCACGTAAATTTTGACTTGCTTATATAGTTATGCATAGAGTTACACTGAAGATTGTTTAACTGTTTCGATTTATGGAGTTTGGAAAAGAGCGCAGACATTAAGCTGAAGATTATTTAGATTTAGATTCTAATAAAGCAAGCGAGGGCTATCTGCCTAAGGGAAGATGCCTTTGTAGAGAATTTTTTAAGGGAAAAAAATAGCCTTTAATCCCGTTACACAAGAAGAAAACTACCAAAACTCCCATGCAGGCAGCCCGTTTCCTGGGCTTTAACTCTTTGCGGCATGGTGTGCCGAGTCTGGGCCCACCTAAAAATTTTCCTCTGTACATACAGAAAAATTGAATGAAAAAAGATGTATAGGTTACCATAGGTTACTCTGAACCTTCTTTATTTCTACTATATGGCAGCACAACACAAAACAGTCTATATATCAGGGGTGGCCAAAGCGCGTCTTGCGAGCCTGATACGGCTCTCGCAGGGAATTTGTGCGAGGCTCATGCATCTAAAATATATGTATGAAATATGGTAAACTAAAACTATTCAGTGTCCAAAAGGAAGTACTTAATTAGTGTAGACTCATTTTACAAAGTTATCAAGGATATTTTTCTATTTAAAACCTCCTCCACTACTTCTATAACGATGTAAATATGAACTTGTGGCTTTTAGAAAATCTAGATGCGGCTCTCGAACATCCCTCAATTCAAACGCGTGGCTCTTACTGGCATGAAGTTTGGCCAACCCTGCTATATATTTTAGCCATGTTTAATTTTTGAAGACCCTCATTTTTCAAAGAAATCTTTCAGATTTCATTTAGCATATAAAAGGAATTGTTTGGAAAGAAATTTCTACGTTATTTTCTTGGCTGTATGTTAATCTCCTTATTCTATATTAGTTTCAAATTTTAACCTTGAATTCTTACCTAAAATCAGCTAACTTCACCTCTACTGATATGTAGTGGTCAGAAAAATTTATTACCCGCGGAATCATAACCAAAACTGCGTTCTGCGGGCCAGATGGATATCCATTGGCAACAAGACCCCGCAGTGGCTGAGTGCTAAAGTAACTGAATGCTAGAAACGTTAAAGTACAGTGTTTTGTGAAATCAGTTCAAATTTAGAATGTATTAAAAATGCTGAAATTCCCCTACAGCTGCAGAATGTTTATTATTGAGATATAATTTGGGAGATTTATGACACTTATGTTAAATTTGAAGTACTTGAGTGTAACCAGATCACTTTATGCCTATGCGTAAGTTATAACAGGGACCAAATAAATTTCGTGCCACGAGTTTTCGTGAAGGGAGTGAAGTGCAAAGTTCATTTAGACACAAACACCGAATTAAGCTAAATTAATTTAAATGTGTCTCTACTTGAGAAGTCTAACCTTAAATATATTACAAAGACAACAATTTACTTGAATGGACAGTAGTTGTAGAATAAAATTTTATAAATTTAACGAATCCATAATTCATTTGAATCTCATGGGAAATGTAATTTTTTCTAGCCGATAGTAATGCGTTTAATCTTTCAGTTGCGCCTTACCATTTGGATAAGTATTTCGACAAACTAGTCTACAGTGGCCAATTTTACCATCAAACTTTCGCCAACAGCTGATTCAGCTCCAAGAGCCCAGCTCCGATGTTTTTCATTCGATGCTCACTACTACGGTTCCGATTAAGACTTTTGAACTACATTCACCCTGGTCTATCTGCAAGGAAAGCTGCGACACGGAAAAAAAAAAAACTCTTTTAACGCATACGTAAGTTCACAGCGGAGACTTTCGCTTTAAAAGTTGTCATAAGTGCACATAAAATGGCTCTTTATATCGGAAACTTGGAGGAAAACATTTATTTATTTATTTTTGTGTGGTACTTGGCTTAATAATATAATTAAGCTTGTATCTTTTAATTAAAATGTATCTAATTATTGCTAGATCAAAACTTATTTTACCTCTTAATTAATTAAATAAGTTATAATGTGGTAAAATAAAAGTTACATATTTAGTTTTAAAATATTTTCTTGTCGGTGTGCACAATTTGGATTTTTTTAAAAATAAATACAGATGGTTTTAAATTTTATGCATTTTAATTATAAAGATAAGTTTTCAAAAATATTTTTGTTTATATTTATATATGTGTACAATATTCATTAGCGTATGGCCATAAGAAGCTTAGGATTTTGCGTCAGCAAATAGGAAAACTGGATGGAGAACTGGGTATCCTTGTGACTGATGCTAAGCATGAGCCCTCTAATGAGTGTTCCTGTTGGACAAAGTTTCCGAGACATGACGTACACACAACAACTGTTCAGCTTTCATTTCCCGCCTTTAATGGAGCATGCATAATTCTTTTAATGGCTGGTAAGATTTGTTTGATTATTCTCTTTGAATGAACAAATTAAGATTGCAAGGGCCTGATTGAAAATTTGCGTGCATAAATCACACTCAGAATGAAAGACAAAAGAACTAAAATAAAACTAACTTGTGTAACGCATGTAATACATCCTTTAATGATCTTAATAAAATCATTTATTTCTTTGTTAATCAGATAATTAAAATTACTTAAACCTCTGTCCAGAAGACGCAATCTCAAACAAACAGATTTCGCCAAAATTGAAATATTTATTCAACGCAACTGTAAAATTTATTTTAATTAACAAATTATTTCTTCAGATAAATCTTACTTCTTAAGATAAATCTTTGTTTGTTGTCTACTCTACCAAAAATGCAGAGTGAGTGAGTTCAAATAACAAGCGAATATCTAAGTTGAGTGAAGGAGTGTTGGTAACTTCTGTCAGGAAAATTGTAACTCCCAGATTTTACCTGCCATAGTATTGCACTGAATGTATCTGGGTTTAAGCTTTTGATTCCTTGTAATTTCCCTAATGTGCAAACCTTAAGCAACAAATTTATTTTTAAACATGAAATCACAAAATTATAATAAGGGCTTTTTGCGATCAGTACAATGAAACACCAGCTCAGTAGAAAAGTGATGCATATGCAGATATCAACACCATGACGTCAAAGGGTATATCAGAGGAAATGATGTGGTTTTGATTGAACATTGATGAATGATCACCGATAAATCGCCGTGCAAATGGAAAAAAAAAAAAAAAAAAAATCGAAACCAGAGAGTATGAAGCATTGCTCAGAACTTTCCCACGGCAACTGGACGACAGGTGTTCCGATTTATTGTGGCCAGACAATTTCGGAAAGGTGGCCTATTTGCCGGCCTTCCTGAACGCTGCGTACCATTGATAGCAGCCCAACAGAAGAACCGTTTACACTGGTGTAGAGAACACAAAGACTAGATACAGCATCAATACAGTCACGTCCTCTTTACCAGTCCTTTATAGAAAAACACAAAACACCAAATACAGTTAAAACAATTAAGAAAAACAATTTTTAGAATTAAAATTAAAATTTCTGTGCAATTAAAAAAAAAAAAAAAAAAAAGCAATTCGGTCAGCAGGCAAAATGGCAAATTTTTCGGTGCACAAAATTAAGTTGCGTTTTGCTCCCACTCGGCAAAAAGACATTGAAAATGCACAAATTGACTTCACTAGTCTGCTATGTTTCAAATGTAAACAAATATGGCTGCTATGGTTAGAAAAAGTTAGATTTGCCGCGCTTAAACAACTTTTAAATTATTGATAATTCTACAACTATTGTATGCAGATTAACTAAAGGCATAAAAACCTTATCCGGAAGATAAGAACAACATAATTCAATCATTTTTAAAGCAAAAAATGCTCAATTTACAAACATATAAGAATAAAAAAACTGAGCTCACGGAGCCGAGTAACAGCGTGTATATATATATATATATAATTTATCAAGCAAAGCAGTAATAACAATTTTTAAAAAAACCAATTTTGGTCTAGAAAACATCTTGCGCAATATACTGCAAAATAAGTAAAATATAAAAATTGTAGTAAGCTCGCCTAAAAGTTACCAAGAGCTGCTGCTCCAAAAGGTTCAACACGTTTTCAAAGGTTTAAGTTTTCAAAGTTTTAAGAGGGACAGCTTTGCATCGCCAAAGGTCAGTTTTTGTTTCTTTTGTTACAACTTTTTCTTGGTCTTAGCAAGACCCACTTAGTTTGTTCTCTTCTTAATTTTTGTTTTATTTTATATTAATTACAGGTTTTCATTACAGTTTTCTAAAATCTATTATTTAAAAATTAAATTGTTAATCTTTAAGCTTGCAGGCTCAGCCCGTATGTTTTTGTATTTTTAGGACTAATAGCTCATCGCTATTTATTTTCGTTTTTGATTTTAATTTTAATTTTAGTCTAGATTTAGGAAGTTTAGGTTTTGATTAACATATTTTAACACCTTAATGTGTCATTCTGTGCGGACGCGTCGGGAAATTGGAACAGAGAATTGAGACTATTAAAATTTCCAAGACACTTTGTCTAAATTTTAAAAAAAATTTTAGCGAAAAAGTTTCAATTGTCTGTTTCGGCGAAACGCGTAATGGGGTTAGATTGATTCGACGTTCAAATAAATGAAATTTCCCTTGAAAAGCCTGTTTGGAAATCGAATTGGGCTAATTTACCATTTTCCGCTTACCTTTTAACTTTTTCTGTTTTTTAATATTTTTTTAATGTTTTAAATGTCTAATGATTTGATTTTCATGTGTATTAATTTTTTTGAAAACGTGTTGAACCTTTTGGAGCAGCAGCTCTTGGTAACTTTTAGGCGAGCTTACTACAATTTATATATATATATATATATATATAGGTGAAAAGATTAAGTCTTTCAACCTAAGTTTTATAGTTTCACTAACGTTTTAAATTTATGTGTTTAAAGGTAAAATTTTGATTTACATTTTTCACTTAAATGTTTTATCATTTCACTTTCAGTTCTTTAAATAAAATAAAATTCTCTTTAATTAAGGTACAAGATTCTATTAGAATTTACTTTGTTTTTTACCTTGCTTTGTGGAAGGGCCAGCATTTTCGAGTGAACTATCATAATTAAAGTACATTGGAACGGTTCGTCGGCTAATACTGGATATAGAAAAGGAAGGATTTTTGTAGAAGAGAGATTCCAATTGATTTCAATGTTCCTTCCCCTTGATTAAGTGCCATTGAAGTTGACCGAGTTTCTCCTCTGTTATGTTCTTTTTTCTTTAAATTTCATTAAATTTTTTTAATTGGGGTATTGCTTGTTTAAAAATTTTGGTTTTAACATTTTTTAAATATATATATAAGGAAGAGTGTGTGTGTGTGTGTGTGTCATTCGTTTGTGCTGTGAGCAAGCTAATAGACCCAGGGCTACGAAATTTGGAAGATAGGTTGCATCTAGATAAGAGCGAGTGCACCTAGAAGTGATTTTTTCAAAATTCGAATGAGTTTTTTTTTATTTTATGCTTTTTGATGAAATCGCAACAAATCGGTACCTGTCATTATATCAGCAACAATGGCACGCAGCCATTGTTGCTGATATATCACTGTTGCTATTATTGCTGGTATCAGCACTGTTCCCACCCGGAAAAATGAGGGAAATAATGCTGTGCAGTTTTTAAATTCAATGTTCTCTTGGATACTGGACGTTTGTCGAGGCAAGGCAACGGGAAGTTTGTTTATTTATTTATTAGAATAATGAATATTTGTATTAAGGGATATTGCTTATATCATTGTATTTTTTATATGTAATGCATTTTTATTGAAATTTGGGTTTTTTAGTCCAAAGGGACAATTTGTCCAGAAGGGCTATTAATTTCGTTTTAGCATTTTGCGTTGATTCACTACAAGCGTTGTTTCACTTATCAAAGTGTTGCCATCAAATATTATCGCCCTGTATTATATTTAAAGAAATTAAATAATGAAAACTCTGCATAAATGTATGTATGTTTCTCGCATTGGGGTACAACAACGGTACCTAGAGCCATCAAATTTTGAATAACGTAATCCTCCTGCGAATATGGGCATTCGGAAGGCCAAATTTGAGATTTGGAATTTGTTTTATCGATTTCATATTTTGTAGAACTTTTAACGAATTTTTGATTAACAATCTGAAGGATTTTAAAGTGAAACAATAGCAACGTTTTACAGAAAATCATTTTTATCTCAAATTTGAAATTTGGAATTTGTTTTATCAATTTCATATTTTGTAAAACTTTTAACGAAATTTTGATTAACAATATGAAGGATTTTAATGTGAACAATGGGAAAGTTGTACATTAATTCTAAAGATATGCTAATTTTTGCTATATTACTCTATTATATTTTAAATGATTTTGCGATATTACTCTTGAACTGAATTTTATGGTTTAAGGGCGAACAACATGATATTTAAGAAATAAAGATAAAACACAAAATGCTAAAAAAACGCCCCTTTGGAAGTAATGTAAAATTTAAAACCTTTCAGACCCCCCCCCTTTTTTTTCGGGGGGGGGAAGGATAAATTTGTTGAGCAAAATAAAATCCTGTGAAATTTTTAAATTTAATGCTTGGTGTTGTTCCCTTTAGGCATTTTTCCGATATATTTAAAAGCCAGATGAAGGATGGCCGCTTAGCGGCTCCGGCGGTCATACGAAATGACCGCTGTTCTATATATATTATAAATTGTAATTAAAATGGCTTGTGCAAAGGTGTTTGCTAATTCAAACTGAATTACCCAGGGCAGGCAGCGAGAAAGCCCCTTTGCTTACTGCCCCACTGGATTTCCCCCTTCTACTTGCTTAATTGCTTAAAGTAGAATGCAATGAAGGAAACCCCTGGCGGTACATTTCTTAAGAGTCGCCGCTAGCTCAATAAATAAAAGTGATTTAAATAATAAAATATTAATTCACATGTCAAAGATCTCTCTGTGCACAACATTTGTTGTGTAGATCTTTCCATCATTTTTAAGCTCGCCTTGGAGAGGACCATCCATTATTTTTAATTTTACGTCCGTTCTTTCACGAACTCTTGAACAGGAGCTCACGAACTCTTGCGTTCAGTTGTAAACCATATTAAAAACAGATGATTGCTAATGCAAACAAATGTTCACGTTCCCCCTGATAAGGTCAATTTGCGTTCAGCTGAAAATTCAGGTTAAAATACAATGTGGGAGTAAAATCGGGCAAAATTTTAAACTATTTACGCGAAAGGATATTTAGCATAGGAAATGTATCAGAACTACCTGGTAATTTGGGTAAACCTACCTGATGAGATATACTACGCAGAACTCGTTAGTTGGTTTCGTCTCCTTTAGTTTCTCAATATTTGCAAGTTTCTAGGTAATTCATATGTAAATATAGTTAAATGCATAATAAGCAACAATTGTATGAATTAAAAATATTTAAATGTTCTTAAATACCACGATAATTTAATTAAAACAATGAAAACTGCATGTACGGTATCAGTGTATATGGGCTATTTGAACGTGTATATCGAATGTATATGTGTACATTTGAATGTATATATCAGCGTATATGAACAACTTCACCCCATTGGCTAGTACGGTTATGCAAGCAACCAATAAACTATCGGTGAGAAACAGACACGTAAGCCGCATATATATAAGATATATAAGGAAGAGTCTGTCTGTTTGTGTATGTGTCTTTCGTTCGTGCTGCGCGTAAGCTTATAGACCCAGGACTACAAAATTTGGTGCATAGGTGCATCTAGACAAGAGCCAGGGCACCTAGAAGCGATTTTTTTCAAAATTCGAACTGAGTTTATTATTATTATTATTATTTTCTGTTTCTTGAGGAAATCGCATCAAATCGATAATTCAATAGCAACAATGGCACGCAGCCGTTGTTGCTGATATCAGCACTGTTGCCACTCGGAAAAATGAAGGCGAAAATCTATGCAATTTTTAAATTTAATGTTTGGTGTTCCCTTTTGGCATTTTTCTGATACATTTAAAAACCAGATGAAGAACGGCCGCGTAGCGATTAGTATATATGTGTAATGATTTACTTTTTGCGAAAGATAAAAACTGTTCACGTTCTAGTTACGGCCGAAAATACTGCTGCGTAGATGATTTAAAATTGGGGCACAGTGGAATGATCTGATGGAACTTTAGAAGACGTACGACCAGCTTGATAGTTAAACATAATTTATTTTTGGATGACGAATTTCTTAGCACATACATTTATAACTGGTAGAAAATTAAGGATGCTAAAACGCGCTCCATAAATTTAGATATGCAATTACCTTTTATATATATAATGGCGAATAGCTAGCAGAGGCTGAGCGACAGGCAGGTGAAGAAGCGAAAGAGAGGTTACGCAGTTAATAGCTATTTATACTAGGTAGGTGCATAAGTATAACTAAGCTGCTATTGGTTAATTTTATGTCGTTATGTAACGTGGTAAGATCTCGAATTTGGGCGAACACATGAATTTAGGGGGAGAACTCAATCTAGAATAGCCAATTTTTGAGGTCGCCTCGTTTCTTAGCGCAGCCATCGTATTTTGTTATATCTTACATATATTTATATAGATTCAGTGCGAGCGATTGCAACCAAAAGGTGCACAAGGGGAGATGCACAACTACATGCTATAGTAGTCCTATGTACAAAATTTCAACATTCTGAGGCTACTCGTTTTTGAGTTATGCGAGATACGTACGTACGTACAGACGCCGCGAAAAATTCTCTTCAGAATTCATTTTAAAGCAGTTTTATAATTTTTTTGGAGGAAAATTTTATTCTGTCCTTACGTGCAGATATTACGCAAAAACATCGTTAAATTGCATTCGATAGCTGTCAAATGGATATTTTCGTTGAAATATGGTACCTGGAATTTTTCGTGACTACAATACTTCCTTTACTTCGTACAAGGAAGTAAAAATAACAACTAAACTTTACTGTACCTTCAATTTGTAGTACGAAACTAAAACTACTGAACATAAATCACTTTTCGAGGGAGTAACAAACAACGTAAAAAATCAAATTATTTACAGTTTACAAACTAAATTATATGCTAGTATCTGGCTCGGTAACATTTCGCGAGCTCATTAACTAATATTGTACTGCAAAGGACAAATTCATCAATTAAGAGAAAATATTATTGACGAGGTTTTTAAAGTCTAGCTTCACATTGTCAGACCTTCTTCTTTAATTTAAATTCTTAATCTGTTTAAAACATCTCTCATTTATGTATCCTGATGAAGTAAACGAAACATTAGGAATATTGAATAGATATTAACATCAACCAAAAAAATGTTAGTTAAAATAAATATTTCGAGACGATAGCAAAATTCGTGATTTTTTCCTCGGAGGATATCTGAAAGCCGAAGTTTCCAAATATTACTCTGGGGCTAATTTTCGGAAGTTGATCTTTCTGACATAATTGGTTTAATGTAACGTATCATCAGAAAAGAATCAAGAAAGATACGTGGAGCTCTAAAATGTTAGACTAACAATTCAGTTTTCAAAAAAAGTGCAAATATGAATGTCAGCTGTTTAAATACATATTTTTATTTCACAGCAAAAATTAAGGGATTCATGTCAAGATTCTGGAAACATGCTCTGCTGTGTACGTTATGGATGACACTAGTTCTTCTATACTTCTGGATTTTTAAAAAAAATGCTGCCGAGAATTCTATGCCATGGATGCAAAGAAACCTCTGCAGGATGATTTACTTTTTGCCTTTCTGTTCTCCTGTGTAACATAATAACATTTCTTATCCTTCCTTCTATGATTAGTAAGTATATTTTTCACGGCGTGAAACGGTTGTGAAAAATTTTAATGTAAAATTTTCTCAAAAATGTGCTCTTTCGGAAGTAGTATTTAAAATTATTTGTCTAAAATGTGGAATAGCAAGAAGGAGGCAATGATTCATTTACTCTTTTGTTATGTTTAAGAAATTGAAGAACTGTAGCCAAATAAACTAAGTTCACTTAACACATGATTCTTGATTCTTTCTTTTAAAAATGTAATATTTAAAACTAAAATGTAAACACTTTTGGCTTCTAAGATGCTAAAGCGTACGGTTCATTATCCAACAATTTAGAAAAATATTTGTAGAGTCATTAGGTTATTTTGAAGGAAAGGAGATATGAAAAATATGAAGTGCTCTCATCGGGACTCCAACACTGGACCTCTCGACCACGCGTCGAGTATGCTTTCAATTACACCACAGAAGCATGTAAAAAGGAGTGAGAAAATACCTTACATACTCTCCTTAAAGGGCGACTGGGAACGTTCACTTCCTTATAGTTCGGGCGCCACTTGAAAAATCATTAGGGTTTTTGGAGTCAAGAAAACTGTGCAGTGTCTTTGTCGGAACTCGAACCCTGGCCCTCTTGAATACACGTCGAGTACGCTTTCCATTACATCGCGAGGGCATACGGAAAGGAGAGAGAAAATACCTTATAACTAATTTTTTGGAAATCAACTTATTTAGAAATTTTAGAGTTTTCGAACTCAAAAATGTGTTGAAATATATGATATGTGAATGATATGATATGTTCTGATATGTGAATTGTCTTTGTGAACTAACTTCTCGCTGATTTTATGACAATTTTTAAGTACTTCATTTTTTAAGTAGACAAATAAAAAATAGCTGGAGAAATGCAGTGATAGTGAGGGGAAAAAGAATAAAATGAACATTCGAAAGTAGCAAAAGTTACACTCTGTCACAAGCTTGTTTGATAAATCACAAAAACAATAAAAATTCGTCCCTACTGGGTAGTAGATAATATTTGTTTTGAAAAATAAATCAGATTTCCTATTGACTAGTTAGCGTCTAATTACGGAGAGCACTATCCTATTTCGCACTTTAGAATACTTTGATTCTTGCAACAGGAATAAATATTTTCCTTAGGTTTCATTGCTTAAGGTAAAAGTGCGGCTGTCTTTGATCGGCATGGTAGTTAACTCTGCTAGCAATCACAGCGCTCCACCCGAGTTCGAATTATAGAGAAGGTATTGTTGTTTGTGAGTGCAAAGTGTCTTTGTGGTATGTGGGCACTTAAAATATGATAAAGCCAAAAGTTCCCTTGAGATGCTGGTGGTCGGGAAAAGAAGCATGTCTTATGCCTGTCCTTCAGTATACAGATAATTCACTTGTACGCAGATAATTGTATTTTGAAATTCTCCTGGTCCAATGATTATTTCTGTCTAACCATTGCAACTAATACATGAAATAAAATTATCATTTTCATGTTTTATTTTTAAAAAATTGTGATGGAAGAGAAAGTGATCTGAAACGCGGAATGGAATTCTCGTTTCTGCTTTTTCTTTTAACTTTATAAGTTACGTTGCATGCAACTCCTGTTGCAGGCATATTGAGCAAATGATCAATAGCCATTCTCATTGCCTCCTTAATGAAGAACAAACATACTTCTATAGATTTTTACGCCGACCTTTCACAGAATTTACCTAGCTACTTGTTTACCATATCTGCTTCCAATTTACAAGTTTAATATCGGAAAAGATCTGCATAACAACAACCATTTTCCTGTTTTTATTACCTTTTCAGATAAAGACATAAGCTCATTTGTAGATTTCCGCTTTTCACTTTTATACCGAGCTCACTGAAGAAATGGTGAACGATGCATCTACAGATAATTCAGTGGAAGCCTTTACTGAGGTTATTATCCAGGCAGATAGCCTCTACATCCCTGTGTCGTCAACAAAATTACAAAATACCCCAAACCATGAAGCTGGCAGTGTCAAGAGCCTCAAAGACTGCAATGGAAAGCTCGAGGATACATATACACGAAGTGTACGAAGGCGGAGCCAGAGGGATTCTTGGATATCGTATGTATTACATAAATTACATCCCCTACACCAAGCAAAAGCACTGGGAAGAGTAAAGAAAGCATCCGAAATGTATAATAAGCACTCATTTTCCATTCCGGGTAAAGATGTCCGAGTGATAAGCAACACAAAAGAAAAATTTCTATGAGTATTTTGCTGCCGTATCTGGAAGCAGCACTTACCCACCTTCATTTCTTTCCATCCGAGAAACGTTTTATAATGTTTAATTCTCTAAACTCAGAGTCTTATAACGTTGACTTTACCCTGTTTGAGCTGAAAAAGAGCTGAACTGAAGACACATAGATCTAAGCCAGGTCTGGTGCAATTGACTACAATAAGATAAGGCACCTTTCTGGTAAGTTATTGAATGTCTTTCTTTTCTTGTTCAATATAGTGTGGAAAGAGACTATCCAAATTGCTAAGTTATGTAAGAACCCCAAAAATTCCTCAAAATATCAACTAATCGCATTTACTAGTTGCATTAAAAACTGTTTGAGAAATGATAAATTGTTGCCTTGTCTACTATCTGGAGAAAAATAGCATAATCTCTGCAATCAGAATAGTTTCTGTAAGGGTAGGCCAACTGTAGACAACATGTTTCATCTAGAAACATATATCCTTCAGCCTTCGTGAAAAGAAACCACTTAGTTTTAGTATTTTTTATACTAAGGCGGCTTATGGCAAGAATTGGAGATATGCCATTTTAAATGAGGATTGGTTCTGTGCTGTCCAATATCTTTTACAAAGAAGTGGGTGCATCTTGTAAGTGTAACGTCTTTCAGCCTTAAAATAAATTTTTCTTTGAAAGAATTTATTCTGTTTCAGGTGTATTCTGCATTAATTACCTCCAGATAAGTTGTTAGGTGTGGATATGAGGATGTAGAGAACAACTGCAGATCGCAATTACAGGATCCTAAACTGATCAAACCAGCATTGTTTCAGTTTTCGAAGACAGAAGATCGTTTACGTACACTTTTTTAGAAAGTGAATTCATCCTGAGCCTGAACTGCATACTCGTGGATCACTGATTCCTGTTGATTCTGAAATGGAATTCCTAGGAGAAACCATTCGAACCAAAACTGATCTTCCTTTCACATGTGCTATACTTGAGGAAATAATACTTACAAACATTAAATAAAGTCTTAGTACCTACTGGGGTACAGATTGTTGCGCTACTCTACATGTTTGCAGGAGTCTAGTCCGCTCTAAACTGGACGTTGGCTCAATGGTTTATGGTTCAGCCCTGTTTCCTGTGTTACTGAAACTAGATCCTATTAATCATCAGGCTTTGAGGATATATTATGGAACATTTAGAGCTTCTCCTACCGAAAGTCTATATGCGGACAATTTTAAATCATCATTTTTTTTAAATGCAACGGTTAGAGATTTGCTTTTACTTCAGCAAAGGTTACATGAAATGTTTAAATTTAGAGCCTAAATCACTGGCTCGGCTTTTTGCAGAACTTCGTAACGAAACTTTGAAGGTGAAAACAACAGTCACTCACTCGATAACGCGCATGCTGGTCAACAACAGAAGAGTCCCACAACAGCTGAAGCTGCTAATCTACTCTCTTAACAGACCTATTTAAAATTGCTTTTATTTACATACTCTGGTAGATCGAGTATAGGATACTTCGGAAATAATGTCTACTTGAACAAAGCCTCATAAAATTCTAAAACGTTAACAAGATACATTGGTTATCATAAATTAAGGGAAAATCACAAAAATAGCAATAACTCCCTCAAAAATAAGCCAAACCGTGTAAAATTTGAATATGTTGCCAAGTAAGAGTAGCTGAGTAAAACTGCGATATGCAAATTAGTGGTGCTGCTTTCAGAATACGTCACCTGCGAGGAGCATAAAAGTCCATGTTTGAGAGCAAGCCCACATATTTCACTGTGATAGTGACATCAGAAATCTGAGATAGCCAATTCGTAACAATGACCTCCAGGCATCATTTGCCTGCAGAACTGCGATGGAGAAACATTGGAAGACTAGAGGCAGGACAAAATCAAACAGAAGTGGCCAGATGGCTAAATATGAGTCCTTCTGTGGTTCATAGACTTTGGAGGCAATTTCAAATCACAGATTCGCATCTAGGAGGTTCAGCCTAGGACGGCCAACTGCTACGACGAGCGCCGATGTCCGATATTTGACATTATGTGCACGCAGGAATAGAACCGCTACTCCGACTCTTCTTAGATCCTCCCTTGCTGCAGCCACCGGAAGATTCGTGTCAATGTCAACTGTGCGTATAAGGCTTCACGAAGGTGGTCTGTATGTGAGGCGACCAGCCATTTGTGTACCGCTCACGTCACGCCATAGGAGGGACATTTTTCAGTGGGGACGACAACATGTCCACTGGACGCCTGATCAATGGAGGGCGGTTCTCTTTACGGATGAGTCCAGGTTTAGTCTAGAAAGCGACAGTAGGCGTTATTTGATATGGAGAGAACCTAGAACCCATTATCATCCGCCAAACATTCGTGAAAGTGATGCATACGGAAGAGGTAGTATCTGTGTTTGGGGTGGCATCTCTTTGGGTGGACGCACAGACCTACATATTTTTCCAAGGGGAACCGTGAATGCTCATGTTTATAGAGATGACATCCTTGATGCTTATGTGCGCCCATATGCCGGGGCAATAGGTGATGCTTTCCTGTTACAGGACGAAATGCAAGACCACACAGGACTCGCATCGTATATGATTATCTTCAACAGGAAACAATTATGCGCATAGAGTGGCCAGCTCGATCCCCGGAGTTAATTCCTATCGAGCACGTTTGGGATGCTTTAGGGAGACGTCTAGCTGCTTTCAATCCGCCCCCTCAGACCCTTGTCGCGCTTGCAACTGCTTTGCAAGAGCAATGGCTCTCGCTTCCAATGGAATTGATAGACCGCATAATTGAAAGCATCACACATCACTGTATGTGCTGTATTGCTTCTAGAGGCGATTATATTCCATATTGAAGGTACGTTTCCTATAGCAATCTGACACCTTTGATTTGTTCATTTTATGCATGTGCTAATTTTTGTACTACCATATTTGTCTAGTAATTTCTTTTTATGTTATTTGATACCTTACTATGTGTTGTATGTTGTGGGTAAGTTTCATTAAATTCTACATGTAACTTTTTCAGTAATCGTGATTTTTCTTTAATTTATGATAACCAGTGTATTTAGAAATTTTAAAGATATAAAAGTTACAAAAAATAATAATAAATAAAAATAACAGCCTGATTTTGTATATTGATTCCAATTTAATTCTGTAAACACCACGATTAGCTTACTATCGGGTCAGTCCATAAGTTCGTGCGCATTAAGAGTATGCGTGGAATTCACTATGACGCATTTACTAAAACAATACAATTTTGAACCTGTTGAAACTTGTCATCGTTTGACTAACATATTATTCAGTTCATCTCCAACTTTCGTAAATATCGAACGCATTTTAGCATCCATAGAATATGAATATAGATAATCAGTACAAACGTGCTGTGGTACATTTTTTATTTTCTTGTGGTGAATCTGACAGGTTTGCAGCGATAAAAATTAATAGTGCACATGGTGAACACACTATTAGTGTAAAGGACTGCCCAGAAATGGTTTAAAAAATTTAAAGTTGGAAAAAGCACCATGGATGATGAACCCCATTCAGGACGTTTTGAACTGTTAGAACCAAATCAAACGATTCATTCAGAAGTTTATAGTGAACAACTTTGCCGTCTAAACTCAGAATTGATAAAAAAATGCCCACGATTGGTGAATATCAAGAAAGTGTTGTTTCATCATGCTAACGCTAGACCGCATACGGCTCAAACAACGCTGCAAAAAATTAGTGAATTTAATTGGGAGCTTTCGCCACATCCTGCGTACTCCCCAGATATTGCCCCTAGTGATTTTCACTTATTTCTTGCCTTAAAAATTTTTTTACTGGGAAAAAAATTAAATTCTAAACAGGATGTGCACAAAGAACTTTCAAGTTTTTTGCATCAAAGCCATAGTTTTTCTACAGCAATGGCATGAAAAAGCTGCCTGTAAGATGGCGAGATATTCTAGATAATGGAGGAAAATATGTAATTGATTAAAATGTTAAATTGTGTTTTTTTATATTATTTAAAAATTAACCAAAAAATGCGCACGAATTTATGGGCTGACCCAATAGTTTGAGGATTATTCATATATTTAAAAAGTACTTCTTACAATTAGCAGTATTTGCTGTTTTACCAAAACTCGAAAACCGCTAAATGAAAACAATCAACACCTTAAAGAGGTGTCGAAACTTTAAAAAAGAAAAAGTAGTTTTTCTGAGGTCTTAAAGAAAATGAACTGCATTACAAGACAGACGGTAGAAGAAAAACCAATTTTTTGCTCCGAAAATTTCATCAGTTCTTGTTCTTTATACACTTTCTGGATACCACTTCCTTCCAAATTGGGCTCTCGAGAGCGGTTACTTAAAAAAAATTCATGAAATGATAATTCACATATTTAAATTCTTTATAACTGTTTCATAATATGCCAGAACCTGAAAGCAATTAAAGTTAGCCCTAACCTTCGGAAGCACATTCCCGATAAACTGGACACGTTGTTTTCACCGATTTCGTGGGTGACATGACAAATCGCTGGCAGAAGACTGGACAAGAATTTTCTCTTCAAATTAAGTACAGAAAAGTGTTTTTTTTTTTTTTTTTTTTTTTTTTTTTTTTTAATCTGGCCGTGAAAGAACACGTGAGAAAAACCGGTCTGCTTTCAACGTAGTGCGAAAATAAGTATCAAAATTTCTCTGCACAGACAGAAAGAATTAGTGATCAGTTCTCTTTCGGAAATTATAAGTGATACAACTATTAGTGACTATGGAAGTTCTTGCTTATGTCAGTAATAATTAGTTCAAAATGTCAACAATGATACCATGTTAGATGTTTCAGGTAAGATTTCTTATATGATCCTTTTAAATAATTGAAAAGTTAAAGGAAATTTTTATGCATTTTCGTGTATCATTATACATATTTTCAAGGCACTCTTTTCTGAAAGGGTTATAATTAATATCACAAGATATAACAGCACATATTGAAGTTAAAATTGTTTCCTTTATTCCTTTCGATAATTTATTTGATGATCTTCTAAGTATTACTGAAATAATGAAAAACGACATGCTGTCGTACGTTTTCGTGATAAATTACCAAAATGAAACCAAAATAAATTTTAAAAGTTTAACATGGAAATTTAAACAAAAGAATTTGAATTATACCTGCCAAAATAAGCTTGTCTTTCCATCTAAGCTAAGATGGTTAGAAGTAGCCAAAAATAACCTGCCAATAATAGATGTCAATATAAACTCTATTAAATTCAAAGAGTAAATTCAATTTAGCTTAAGCTAAAACTTGTCTAACCAACTAATTTGAAAGACGAACTTTTGCGTCAGCTTTTACTACAGTGCGAAAACACTAAGCGATCACAGCATTAATAACATTTAAAATGTATTAACCCTTCAGCTTCAAGTACAGGACTAAAAACAATAGCTAACACAAATTTATATCCGCTTCATGCGGAAATTATAAAGAGCACGCAAAGGCAAAAGTATTTACAGTTCATAATTTAAATTATCCTAACACTTGGTTCAGTTAACACCATGAGCTACTGTTAAAGATTCAACTCACTAAAACTCACTAAAGTAGCAGAAAATATAACTTAACATCTGAAGCAATCAGAGATGTGTTTAACGACTGGCTGGAGTAGCCAGTCCTCGCTCTCTTAAACTTATAATCCTTAGTCCTGTATAAAATCTTCTGATTTACACGTTCTGGTAAAGTAGAAGAAACAGCATTAATCTAGGACATATTTTAACATAAGCAATAGCGTGTTAATTAAAATGAATTTTACATGTTTTATAAAAATATTTTTATTTTCTTGAAAAATCCTCCTTTTTGATGTAATTTATGAAGGAAAAAAAATCAGAATTCCTTCAGCAATAAACGCAGTTGCATTATGTCTGTGTAATTTTTCTTCTTCAGATTTTATTAGACTTCAACTTGAAATAATGTTCTGCAGTTTAGGCCTAGTTTTAAAGATTTAAATGTAGAATCTGCTTCTTCAGCTGTATGAGTGCAAATGATGAAAGAAATGCCTGTGCTCAGGGGATAACAATGAAAGGAAGGAAGTAAAGTTACTGGGCCCATCTATTGATAAAAAATGAAAACATTGGTATCGTTAACTAGAATTGAAAGAAAATTCTTTATAAAAAAAGTACAAAACGGCTCTAGAAAATCTATTCGCCAACGGAAAATATTTTTTGAATAATTTTGGCTGCAGAAAATTAGGAACGGGGTTTTTTGGCTTACAGTGTTGGGCAGCAGGATATTTAAGTATTTTTTTTTTCTAACATATCCGTCATATTCCTTTACACTAAATTTTAAGGCTCTTTTATTTTCACCAATGTAAATGAAACCACACTGGCAAGGAATTTTGTATATACCTCAGGATTTCATATCCGGAATGGGTTTTAAAAGACAGAACTGCGAATATTATTGACAGAAGATTAAAGAGACCCAAAAATTGAATTTCTATAAAATGCATGCAATTTTACAACTAATAGAAAGGAATTATAACAGAATTCTTATAATCTCCTAAAGCGAGGGAGTACGTTTTGATGTAAAATGAAAATTTTTTAACCACTTGGTCAATTTTGCTAGGGAAAAATAAAACCTCTGTCAATAGCAAAACTTCTTATTGTTTTTGTAAAATGCGGTTTTAAAGCTCTCATCTCAACGCATCAAAAAGCAGTTCATTATATCAAGTTTAGAAAGATAGCTTAGAAAGTTTTTTAATTATTACTGTTTTTGTGTTAATTTTATTTAATAAATATTACGTTCTTCGCTCTTACACCACACAAAATTCAATTCAACAGCAAAATATTCAAAAACAGTATATCTTTATTTTTAAAAAATAGCATATTCACAAAATATTTAAAAACAGCACATCTTTATTTAAAAAAAATAGCATGTTCACAAAATATTTAAAAACACCATATCTTTAGAATTTCCGATAGACAGTCTCGCGCGCTAGACTAAAAATGTTTTATTCCATGCAGTGTTGCCTACATAAACATCCTCTGATTTATACATTTCGATAGAGTAGAAGAAACAGCATTAATCTAGGACATATTTTAATGGTTCTAGGAAAAAGGCCCTCAGGCATAATGCTCACAGGTATAAATGCTCACAGGAAAAAAGCCCACACAGAAATATGCTCACATAGAAAAAAGCTCAGGTGGAAAAATGCTCACGCGGTAAAAAAGCTCATATAGAAATATGCTCGCATGAAAATATGCCCGCTGATAAATAATTCAGGTAGAAACATCCTTACATTAATCAATCAATAATAAATCGATTTGAACATCGTACACCTACTTTAATTTTTTAAAGAAAAATTATTCAAATTACTAATTATACTAATTATTTATTATATATTTCAAAAAATACTAATTATTATGATATATTTCAAAAAACTGCATAACTTATGTGTATATTCAGTTGCTATAGAACATTAACAAATGGGCCGTTTTGAATTAAGAAAAGGAGAGGAGAAAGGAAGTAAAAATGAAACAGAATAACACAGTGAAAAATTATTAAAATTTTAATTGTTAAAAAATAAAAATAATAGTAAATATAAGTTACATATTTTATAATATAAATATTTAGAAGAGTAAGCAAACAGAAATAATTATTTTATTTAAATTACGTAAAATACCTTATTATATATAAATCATAAATATATATGTAAAAAAGATGTTAATTTGAAAGCATGCTGTGAGGGGATTGTCTTTGTTAGCTTTCAGATAAGAGACTAAATAATGCAAAATAAACTTTTTTCTGGGTAAGAATACAAGTAGGGTGCTATCAAAATAGGTCTTCACAGTTGGTGAAAAGGGGAAGATTATTTCTAAGGCCAGGTTTTGTTAATTGAAAACCCAACCAATTCGCCGTGTAGCACAGCCCCATACGGGGTAAGGCCAGTATCAGATGCAAAACATTTATTTTTGGAAGAAAAAACGAAGAAACAAATATTTGAGTTTTATACGATTGGTTATAAGAAAATGCTAAGCATGTTCTTTTTATACAGGATGTCCCGTAAATGTTGCGACAATCTTCTGAGGGGGGTAGGGCAAATCATAAGGATTAATAAATGCATAGGAACTCATGCCCGGAAATGTCAGAGGTAAGTGATAGCAGAGGTAGAAGATGGGAAAGGAAACAAGAGAGTGATTAATTTGAAACATTTATTGGACATGAATACAAATGGTGTACGATAGCTTGAATGTTACAACAAATGCTTGAAGTTTGCACTATCAGACATGCCTGCTACCAACTGACCGTTGATTGCCGTACATGTTCAAACACACCGGGAATTTCTTCGATTGTAGCAGCTGCGCAGATGAGTCTTGCCACGAGATCCATTTCAGGCACAAAAGGATCGTGATACACGACACTTTTGATGGCTCCCCACAAAAAAAAAAAAAAAAAAAAAAAAATCAAGGCTCGATAAATTCGGTGAGCGGGGGGGACCAGGGAACCTGTCCACCACGCCCAATCCATCGATGCGGGGATGATCAGTTCAAATGGCTACGAACATCCAGTCCAAAATGAGTAGGCTTACCATCATGTTGCGCCTCACATTTGGTGGAACATCGTCAAGCAAGCCGGGAGAACCTGCTCCAGAAAGATCAGAAAATTCGCGGCATTCAGCCTGGATGGTAAAAAGTACGGCTCGACTAAGCAGTCGCCGACCGTTAACTTTGAACTTTTGCCCACACATTAACTTTGAAGCGTAGTTGTGTTCAGATGATTGTTTTATTCAATTATATTATAGTTCAGATGCACATATTCGGGTGGAGGTCTACGATATTAAGAATTAGACGGCTCTAGGTACCGTCTTTTTCTCACGATGCTAAAAACATACATACAACATGAAATATTCAGGAAAATTAAGGTCATTTAGAAAAATGAAAATATCAGGTTTCGACGACTGTAGTTTCCTAAAACAGCTAGAAAAATAATTAAATTTTTTAAATGCTGTTCACGATGTAAGTAATATAACAAAGAATATTTATACAATAGTTGTTTAAATTATTTCAGATATTTGGTAAGCAAATAATTATGCTGAAGGGCCGGCCAGTTTGGTGCATCCTATGTATCATACATAAAAATCTTATATTTAAAATCAGGCTTTCAAAAATAGTGAAATTAAATGATAAAATGTTGACGTCATTGATTGGTATTTCAGCTTAAATTAGCGCCATATGAAGAATTTTTCATTTACTTGATAAAGAAAAGTCTTAATTTTTCAAAACATAGCTCCGTATTTATTTCACTGAATCGCTTGCTCATGAAGCTAATAACAAATATTTCTCTGAAATGGCAGTACTTTCTAATTTGCTAGGAGAAGAAATCCACAAAATGAAAATAATAAATAGCTTCAATAGGTTTTCATTGAGATATTTAACAAATAAAGAAATAAAAATTTACTTTCAGCCTGAAAATATCATAAAATCGTGTCTTTGCAATGCAAAAGCATCAGAATTCATTAAAAAATCTACTTTAAGGTTCGGTCGTAATAAAAAATATATAGATGTATATAAATAAAAGCTGTAAAATTGCTGGAATGAAGGTGAGAAATTGTAAAATCAAAGAACTGAAGAAGACAATTAGAAAAGTCCAGAGATCCCGAATTCTGCAAGTCGAAGTTTGCTGAAATTAGGGAAAGATATTATAGATAGATTAGTATATTTTGCTTCTTTCTATATCAATAAAAATATTTACTTTTATCTCTAAAAAATAAGTTTTGTCCTTTCAAGTAAAATTTCAGAAATGAAATATTCATATGAATGGCTACATACTATGTTGCTTAAAATTTTATAACCATCATTGTATTAGACGAAGAATTGGTGTACGGATAGAAAAGTTGGAAATTAGATACTCATAAATTAATTGATTGAAATTAGATACTCATAAATTAATTAATAATAATAAAATTGAATGTTTAATCACATTTATTTAAATATCGGCATAAATATTATTTGTATTTATTTTCTATATCTCAGATGTTTGAACCCGATCTTTATCACGATATTTTCAGAACTTATCGCTTTTGAATTCTTTTAGCAAAAGATAACTCATGTGTCAACTTATAAGGTATTTCACCCGTCTTCCTAACATGCCTTCGCGGTGTGGTGGTCTGAGCTCGTATTCTAGAGGTCCGTGGTTCGATTCCCGGCGAAAGCATTGGTATTACTTTGGTAGACGGTTGCACGGAAATTATTATTAAGAATTATATGTATTATTAGTCCAAAGGGGCTTTGTCCCTGAAGGACTATTTGTTTTCGTTTTGCGATTTTGCGTTGGTTCACTATAAAAGTCCGTTTCACTTTTCACCACCAAATGTTAGAGTTGCCACCAAATGCTGCATTATGTTTGAAGAAATTAAATAATGAAAAATCTGCATAAATGTATGTATATTTCTCGCATTATGTTAAAACAACGATACGTACAGCCATCGAATTTTGAATGACGTAATCCTACTGCGAATATGGTCATGTGGAAGCCCAAATTTGAAATTTGGAATTTGTTTTATTATCGATTTCATATTTTGTAAAACTTTAACGAATTTTTGATTAACATACTCAAGGATTTTAAAGCGAGCAATGGCAACAATCACAGGGGGGGGGGAGAACCTTTTTATCTCTAGCACGCGGAACTGTGTATCGGAAATTCTAAAGATAGACTAATTTAAAAAATATTTTGCGACATTGCTATTGAACTGAAATTTACGGTTTAAGTGCGAAGAACGTGATATTTAATAAATAAATGTAACACACAAAACGTTAAAAAACGCCCCTTTGGACGTAATTTAAAATCTGAAACCTTTCAGATTTTTTATTATTTGTTTTTAAAATGCTAAATTTGTTATAAGCAGTGTACTAATTATTAGAATATGCAAAATGAATTAAAATGCATATATCACAAGGAAATTTTGTGGGAATTATATACAGTGTGCACGTAAGTTCTCCCTCGCTCTTTAATTTCGCAATTGTTGATCTTATACATATACTTCTAAATACAAAAATGTTTTAAATGTTGTAAATATTCATGTTTGGGCACTTTTAAATTTAAAAGGAACAATTTTCTAAAAATAACGAAATCTAACTTTTACACTTACACTGAGTGCATATGCTATTATTATTTAGAAAAAATTTATACACTTTATAAAAAATAATAAACAAAACGTTGGGCTCTTGTACGAAAAAATTGAGAGCAGTATTTAATTTAAAAATTTAGGATATTTGACATTTCTTTCATTAATCTTTTTGTTAAGAATTTTCATATTACGTAATTTTTAAATTTTTAAGTGCTAAGGAATACGTTATTAATATTCTCCCGAAGGTTTATTATTTTAAAATAATAATCCAATTATTCATACAAAAATTAATCCATTTAGAATGTTTTTACTTTTTGATTCAGGCAAATAATGCTATGCATTGTCTATGTGCCAGTACCTGCTTCCCAGTATTTTCTTGAACATATATTCTGTAAGATTCTGTGAAAAAGACATTTTTTTCTGAAGAAACTTTTAGTAATCGATATTTTTCGCAACAACCTACGTAGAAATGCTATTCCTGTAACCTGTTAACATTAGAAACCTTTTTCTAAGCTATTATTTCATTTTACAGAAGGTAATGTGATAATAATAGTATTATGTGATAATAATTAATAATATATTTGATAATAACTGATTTTACTTAAGGTTTGTCCAGAACTATTAATGACATTATCCGAATGATAACACTAAGTGATGAGAAAATAGTCTTCAAAATATCAATGGAATTAAACTAATTTAATGCAAATATAACTAAAAGCATTTAAATACTTATTTTCACAGCATCTTAATCGAGACAAAAAGTCATTGATTTATGAATTGCTCGTACTCATAATGTTCCTGGAAATGATTTGACCGATGCTGTCAAATAATATTAATACTGATAGAGCATCCCTCATCTCGGCGTTTAGTAAAACATTTTTTAATCTGGAAGTGTATGTGTAAGACCAATGGTTTTAAATATAAAGTGGGCATGAATATTTATGAGTAACTTTCTTGGTTTCTCTCTAAAACTACTACTTATAGAAACAGATGAAATTGCTCATATATTTTGTTATAATATTTTTTTATGTGATTGCTTTCTATTTTCTTTCAGCCAAGCATTTAAAAGATCTTCAGCGATGTGGGGTGTGAGATCAAATCTATGCCAAAAGCAAAATGAATCTGAAGTCGAGCCATCCGAAGAAGATCCATTACTGGGAGCGGAACTGAAAATAAAAAATACAGCTAAGATTAAAAGGTAAGCATTCATATTTTTTTATCTTGTCCAGAGAATTCAAAATGACCCAGGCGATCATGCTGTGACTAATCCTAGTTTATTATGCCTAAAAATAAACGCCTACAAGCATTCGTTGGAACGCTTGCATTAAATACTGCTCTCAATTTATTTCCCATAATATATCATCAGAATTCTTAAGCATTCATCATACATCCCGTGTAGGCGTTAAAAACAATGCAAGAAAGAACTGTGTGTTTACCTCTGTATCAGGCCCCACCAGTGGTCGCTGAATGCTGATGGTACGGGTTTAATCCAAGATAAAATGTCAAGCTGCATAATTACTTTTCAAGGTGCATAATTACTTTTTATTTTTTCCCCATGTTTAACATGAATATGAGCCAGTTTCCTTTAGAAAGCCCTCCGCGAAGGTTTCTTTCTAACTAGGCATGATAGGCCACTTGTGCTTTGCCATAATCAAGTAAGCTATCGCTGCATAGAAAGGAGATTTCTCTTTATTTATTCCGTTAGGTTCATGAGCCATACGGATGAACACATAGAACGTCTTTCTCCTTTATTGTCTTATATATAATTTAAGCAGTTTTGTAGGCGCTTCCCATTTGAGAGAGGCCATACGCTTCACTGCATTCCTGAGAGTGTTCAACATCTTTTTAGGACTTTGGCATGTGGCATCCATGACAGCCTATTATTTGTGATCAGTCCGAGTTATTTCAATTGCTAGACAATTTTGATTCCTCTACATTCAAATCTAAGACTTGTGTTTGTCTTCATGGTGCTTTTGCTCCCAATCATTAATGTCTATATTTTATCAACTGAAACCGACAGTTCGTATTCTTTGATCCATTCAACAAAGATATTCAGACGGGCTTGTGCTCTGTTTGTTACGTCGTTTCGGCGTGCAGCGATAAATATGAAATCATCTGCGTAACCTATGAATCTACTCTGCTTGAGGTTTTAAAAGCAGTCAAACAGTGAATTTGCCACAAGATTCCCTAGCGTTGGATCCAAACAAGATCCCTGAAGGCAACCCCATGTAATGGGCTTTGTTACAACATTCTTGTTCATAGTAATCTGTACCCTTCTGTCTTAAAAGTAACAGCTAACAATGTGTCTTAACTCCATAGACATCCATAGATAATAAACTGTTAATACAAGTAGACAAATCGTCAAGACATGTATACTCACCAAACTATGAATCTTTTCCTGCCACCACAGCGTGCCAAATGCGCCTTTTATATCAATCTTTTATATCTTTGACTATACTGTGCATATCTAGTCTTCTGTTGTTAATTTAAGTTGTTATAAGATCGTACTCTGTTGATATGCTGGGCCTAATTAAGAGCTAGAAAACACTTCTATAAATTTTCCTAGCTTTGCAATTTGGCATTAGATAGTTCATCATTTACAATTGGCACTATATGGTTTGATAAGAAATTAATATAATGCATTCTAGTCATCGAAATCCAACAATAATTAAATGGCATTGGTAAGTATCTCGATGTCGAAATATCAGCCGTAGTTTTGAATCACGTAAAAGCAGCATGCAGCTCAGGAACGGCTTATACTATATAGAGGAACTGTCCAGCTCTATACAAGCATTTTTCATGGAACAATAAACATAATTTTTTTTAAAACGACATTTTAATATAGAATTTTTATAAAAACCTGGCTTTGAATCAGCTAACGATTAGTCACAGAAATTATCATATCTGATATATTTTTTTAATTTTAATGATTTTTTTACTAGCACCAGAGGTGCTATTAGACTCGAAACTCACTTTTTGTCCACATCACTTCTGTATCTGAATCATTTTTCAGATTGCTGCCACCAAATGTTACCGAAACATATTATTAAAAAATTAAATATGAAGAATGTACCTATAATGAATCATAATGAATGTGTATATGTATATATGTTCCTCGCATTGCGGAAAAACGACTTCACCTAGAACCACCGAATTTTCAATACACGTAGTCCTCTACAGAACACAGATATCTCGAAGCCCGAATTCAGAATTTCGAGTTTGTTTTTAATTTATTTAATAGTTGAAATTTAAAGAATTTTTTGTTTAACGTATGTTAAATAAAAGTGATTTGCATCTGTTCAACGATTTGAAGCAAAAAGTGGAAACAATATTCGAAATAAAACAATTTTATCTCCAGCGTGCCAATCTATTGCCATTCAGCAAAACACAATATACAGTGTCTCACAAAAGTGATGGGACACTTGTGCTTTATGAAAGGAAACTGTAGTAAAATAAATTTAAAAAACATTTAAAAATTTTTTGTGGGTGTGTTTCATACTTAAATTTAGTAACAATTATTGCATAACATACATTTTCTAAAAATATTAAAATAGTAATTTAATAAAAATACAATTGTTTAGAACGGAGCAAAAAATGGCTCACATAAGTGATGGGACACTTAGTTTTCCATCAAATATTTATCCACAAATTTTACTCCTTAAAATGTTTTAATATTTTGTTGGATTTCCTTTTACTTTTAAAACGTGATTTAATCTTCTTGGGATGGATTAGACTAATTTTTTTGTGATTTTTGGAGTGATTTTACCCCATTCTTCTTGAAGCAACGATTTTGATTGTTGTTTTGAAGAAATGGTGTGTTTGTGAATTCTTGATTCCAATTCTTGCCAAATATTCTCTATGGCAGTGCTCCGCAACCGGTGTGCCGCGGTACACTGGTGTGCCATGAGTAGGATATAGGTGTGCCGCAATCAAATACATGTATTTGACATTTTGCAATTTTTTATCATGTATTTAATACACAATGACAATTTTTTTTTCCTTAATAATGTCTATTTTAAATGTTTTTATATATTTCACTGTTGTGTGGTTGTGTGCGTGATTGTAAGTGTGTCAGCATTTGAATTTTTTCGGCACTTCCTTGATAACTCGGAACTCTTTGGTGTGCCACGAAATTCCAGAAAGATTTTTTGTGCGTTGCAGGTGAGAAAAGGCTGCGGAGCACTGCTCTATGGGATTTAAGTCTGGAGATTGTGGGGGTGTTTTTATTATTTCAGGACAGTTATACAGCAGTCAGAGTCTAAAGTTCAAAGCAGTGTGCTTGGGGTCATTGTCCTGGTAGAATTTAAAATCGTTATGAAGGATCAATTTTCGTGCTGAAGATTTCAAATTTTGATTTAAAATGTCAATATACTTGTCCTGATTCATTAGACTGTCAATAAAATCAAATAAATCATTAAATCATAAATAAATGTCAATAAAAACTGTCAATAAAGATTACCAACTCCAGCGGACGACATATACACCCCATACCATAACTCCTCCTCCACCATGTTTTACTGTTGGCACCAAGTTCTGTTTGCGAAATTCTTTCCTGGGTTTTCCTGGGTTTACACCAAGATTCTACCGTCAAAACCAAATATATTAAATTTACTCTCATCAGCAAATATAACTTCATTCCAGTAATCAGAGTTCTTATTTATGTTGGATTTTGCGAAAGCCAGTCTGAGTTTTCTATTCTTTTCACTTACGAAGAATTTTTTCCTGGCTGCTCTACCGTGATATCCAGCAGATCGAATTACTCTTCTAATAGTCTCAGGATTAGCAATTACTCCATATAATGCTTGTAAATCAGCAGCAACTTTAGGAGCACTCATTCTTGGATTTTTTTTAATATTTTGAACAATAATTCGCTTTATTCCATTGGATAGCTTTGATGGTCGTCCAGGTCTTCTTTTATCCTGAATCATATGATTCTTTTTATATCGTTTAATGATATTGAAAACTGTTGAATGACTCATGTTAACTGTTTCAGCAGTTTCTCTAATAGATTTTCCACGTTCAATATGCAAATTTATAACTAATTTTCGAATTTCAGTCAAAGTTTCTTTTCGTTTAGCATTCATGGCTGCACAGAGCTAAAAAACACAAAAATTCCAAAACAAACTGGAGAGAAAGACTGCAGACGATTTTATAACTTATTCCCAATTTCTTTTGAGTAAAAATAAAAACCCCAAAATATATTTTTATTGTAGTACGTAGTAGTATCTAATGGTGTCCCATCAATTATGTGAGCCATTTTTGCTCCGTTCTAAACAATTGTATTTTTATTAAATTACTATTTTAATATTTTGAGAAAATGTATGTTATGTAATAATTGTTACTAAATTTAAGTATGAAATACACCCACAAAAGATTTTTGCATGTTTTTTAATTTATTTTATTACAGTTTCTTTTTGTAAAGCACAAGTGTCCCATCACTTTTGTGAGACACTGTACATATCTTTCAATTTTAATCCACAAATTCAGCTATTTGAAAGCCACTTCCTCAGGTAAAATACGTTTCAGCGTTTTGCCATTCAGCAAAGAGTACGATATCTAACTTTCAAATTTAATCTTTTGTTGCTAATACCAAACTAAGTGATTAAGAAACAATAAACGCAGTTCTTAAAATATTTTTTCTACTTTTTAATCTGATTGGTTTAAATAAAAATGCATTTAAATCGTGAGATATCTAATTGGAGTTATTATATATTTTTATTAAATTACACTAGCTGGACTCTTTAAATCATTATATATTTTTCTCTTTTTAATGATAACTTCTTTGGATGGCTGGCAGCCGTAGGGACCAGTTTTCAAATAAATAATACAGCGAATATAAAAGAAATGTATGCTATCGGTAAATCTAAAAATATGCCTTTTTTTTAATATTTTGTAATTTTGCTCTTAAACTATGTCTAGCGTAAGTACGAAGAATGCTTTACTTAACAATAAAGTTAAAAAGACAAAAAAAAAAAAAAAAAAAAAAAAAAAAAAAAGTGTCAGCAAGAGTAAGTCCAAAAGGATTTTGGTCCATGACGCTCAGCGGGAGCATAAAAAGCATGAAGAAATCCTCTAGTGCGACGTTAAACTGAATTCTTTCGTACTGCCACCAAATATTATCGTACTTTATTGTTTTTAAAGAAATTAAATAATGAAGAATCTGCATGTATTTATATGTTCGATTATATATTATTATTA